GGCACAAAGTTGATTTCTGTAAAATAGTGATTGAGTATTACATGGGAGACTTATCCGGAGATTGGAAACAAATCAACGTTGGAGTTAAGGAAGGCTCCCTGAGAAACTTTTACCAGCACCACCACTTCCACCTACTAATTCAGTGCAAAGAGGAAGCTGGCTCTCGGCATACACCTTGCCATTCACGAGAGTCTCATGCTGGGACATTTGCAAGTCAGGAAGTGAAAGGGGCTGGGGAATTTTATTTTTGTCTGTCCTTAACCATCTGAGTAACAGAAGTCTTAAAACCACAGGTTTCGAGGACAACCAGATCGGGGTCTGAAACCCAGCCCTGTCCCTAATCGGCTGTGACCTAGGCAAGCAGTGTTACCTCTCAGAGTTTCACTTGTTAAAAGAGCATGTTAATACTCACCTCATGGGATCGTCGAGAAGATTAAATACTGTAAGGTAGGTAAACTGTAGGCCTGCTGCCTCATAAAGACTCCATCAATATCAATGCTGTTGAATGCTGTTTTAGATAAAGAGATCTCACTAGAGAACTTCTGGCCAAGAGGGAGGCGTAGGTAGATACACTGTGCCTCCTCACACAACCAAAAGAAGGACAACAACAAATATAAACACAAAAACCAACTAGAACTGCTAGAAAATCTAACTGTATGGAAGTCTGACAACCAAAGAGTTAAAGAGGAAATATTCATCCGGACCGGTAGGAGGGGTGGAGACAGGCAACCGGGCGGAGAGGACTCCTGTCAAGGCGGTGGCTGGCAGACCAGGCGGTCCCACATTTGCGTGCAGATAAACCAGGAGGAACAACTGGTGAGTTAGACAGACCACACAACCAGGGTGTCAGCGCAGGGAAGTAAAGCCTCAAAACTGCTGACAGTGAAAACTTGTGGGGGTTGAGGCGGCAGGAAAAACTCCCAGGCTCACAGGAGAGTTCAATGGAGAGACCCACAGGGTCCTAGAACATACACAAATTCACCCACCCGGGAATCAGCACCAGAAGGGCCCAATTTGCTTGTGGGTAGCAGGGGAAGTGACTGAAAGTCGGCAGAGAGCTGAACAAGTGGCATTGTTCCCTCTCAGACATCTCCCCCACATACAGTGCCACAACACAGCCACGTGGGTTGCCCCACCCTGATGAATGCCTAAGAATCCACCCCTTACTACGTAACAGGTGTGCTGAGCCAAAAAGGCCTAAAGAACAGAACAAAGCTCCAGAAAAAAATACAATTAAGCGAGGATAGCCAACCTATCAGATGCACAGTTCAAAACACTGGTAATCAGGATGCTCACAGAATTGGTTGAATATGGTCACAGATCAGATGAAAAAAAATGAAAGCTATGCAAAGTGAAATAAAGGAAAATGTACAGGGAGCCAACAGTGACAGGAAGGAAACTGGGACTAAAATCAATGGTTTGAACCAGAAGGAAGAAATAAGCATTCAACCAGAACAGAATAAATAAACAAGAATTCAAAAAAATAAGGACAGGCTTAGGAGCCTCCAGCACGACTTTAAATGTTCTAGGATCCGAATCATAGGGGTGCCAGAAGGAGAAGAGGAAAAGCAACAAATTGAAAACTTATTTGAACAAATAATGAAGGAAAACTTCTTCAATCTAGCAAAGGAAATAGATTTCCAGGAAGTCCAAGAAGCTTAGAGAGTCCCAAAGAAGTTGGACCCAAGGAAGCATACACCAAGGCATATCATAATTATATTACCCAGGATTAAAAATAAGGAGAGAATCATAAAAGCAAGAGAAAAGCAGACAGTTACCTACAAAGGAATTCCCATCAGACTGTCAGCTGATTTCTCAAAGGAAACCTTACAGGCAAGAAGGGGCTGGAAAGAAGTATTCCAAGTCATGAAAGACAAGGACCTACATCCAAGATTACTCCACCCAGCAAAACTATCATTTAGAATGGAAGGGCAAATAAAGTGCTTCCCAGATAAGGTCAAGTTAAATAAGTTCATCATCACCAAGTCCTTATTTTATAAAATGTTAAAGGGACATATCTAAGAAAAAGATAATCAAAAACTATGAACAGTAAAATGACCACAAACTCACAACTATCAACAACTGAACCTAAAACAAAAACAAAAATGAACTAAGCAAACAACTAGAACAGAAACAGAATCACAGAAATGGAGATCACATGGAGGGTTATCAGCAGGGAGGAGGAGCGGGGAGAATGGGGTAAAGATACAGGGAATAAGAAGCATAGATGGTAGGTAGAAAATAAGGGGGCGGTAAGAACACTAGAGGAAATGTGGAAGCCAGAGCACTTACGTGTACGACCCATGGACAGGAACTCAGAGGCGGGGAGTGCGGGTGGGAGAGGGTGTGCAGGGCAGAGAGGAATAAAGCGGGGGAAGGGATGGGACCATTGTAATAGCACAATCAATAAAATACACATTTTTAAAAAGAGACCCCACTAGAGATGTGCCCATTTTAGTCCAGAATGGACCTGTTTTCAGCACTCGGGTGGGGCTCCAGAAGGAAACCAAAGCAGCGCACTGAGGACACGTGGGGCCCGGGCCCTGAAAACTGGCGGCGATTTCCTCACCTGCATCCAAGGTGGCTTCCTTTTTTTCCTTAAGGTTTTGAAAGATGCAACTTGCCCAAGTTTATGGTCACAAATTACCCTTTTACACAGGGTGGGGCAATCGTAGGTTTACAGTTGTTCATATGGAAAATAAGGCAATAATTAATAAATACTAATACAAGCATGAACTCTGTGTTTTTCGTATTCACAACTGTAAACCTAGTTTTGCCTCACGCTGTAGCGATGCACAAAGGCGTCCAGACACATGGTCCCCGAACTCGGAGTGATGGGGCAGAGGGAAAGGGCGCAAGGGGAGAACGAGCCAAAAGAGCAGGTGCCACATCCAGACTAACATCCCGCCAGTAGAGCAGGTGACACATGGAGACGCATCTGTTCCCGCTGCAGAACTGCTCCCAGCTCAGAGGGACTCTGGGTCTGGAAGAGCGGCAGTGGGTTGAGTGAAGTTGTAACCGAGTGAGAGCTTGAACCGCTCGCTGCACAGATAGCCGGTAAGTCGCCTGACAAGGAGCTGGGGCAAGGAAACCGACTTTCATGGAAACGCCAACAAGCCAAGAAGGTTGGATACTGGCATCCTGAAGAACCATCTTGAGAAGGTACAGAATTTAGGCTTCTTTTATGTTAGGGGAAGTGGGGAAATGGGAGGGGGAGAGGGAAGGTCAGGAGGTCATTGGTGACCACTGACACCCAGATGTCAGGAAGGGCCCAAGGGGAATGGTGAAGCTTCTCTGCCATCGGTCACAACCCCTGGCTGCCATCGTCCCCGACTTGAGTTTCCTCTGGTCCAAACCTTTTAATAAACAATCACTGGTTTTGTACTACCTTGCTGTTCTCCTTGGGGAGGTAGTTTCAAGCAGGCAGATTGTCTTGGGAATTCCTGGGCTAGAGGTTAGATTCCTCGGTGATTAGCAGACCTTCAGGACTGAGCAGGAGTTACTCTCTGACTGACATACTCAGAACTGGGCAGGCTCCAGCAAGCTGGAGTCAGAAAGACCGATTATTTGATTTGAACACTCAGTCACGATTTCAGAGGAAATTCCAAGATTCTGAAGTGTGCCTCCCACATGAGGCCCCTCCATCTTCCTTGCCCTCGAGGGCCAAACCTGGGCACCGTGAGCCTCTGTTAAGAAGCACCAACTGAGCTGAAAGCATAATGTGAGTCCCAGAACCTTCCTGGGATGTCTGCCTGTCTGCACCCAGGGTCAAACTCAGGGTGACTTTGGGATCACTCAGTTCCATGAAAATGCATTCTGTTTCCCGAGAACCTCTGGCATTCAAGTTAGAGCCAGCACCTGCGACAGATGTTTCTCTCTGCTGCCTGCATGTCTGGCGTTCGTTCCTGGGCTGGGTCCCAGCCGAGTGGCGGTCACCTGGCCTGTCACAGAGGCAGGGTGGCCGTGGATCAGACAGGCCTGGGACTGAATCCAGAATCCTTATCTGTAAAGAGGAGGCAAGACCTCCTTTGAGAGTGGGGGAGGGACAGAAAAAGAACATATTTAACAAAGGAGAGCTGTGATTCCTGTCAGAAGAAAAGTGAATTTTTTTTTGGAAAAGCAGTACACAAATGATTGAAAAACTTAGAAAGCAAGCAGGAGTAGAAAGAAGGTTTTTTTTTTTTTTAATCACCACCAGAGATAATAAGCACTAACATGCTGGTGTCTAGGTCCCCAAATCTGTCACTCATGCCTACAGATGCACATTGTTTTAATGAGCCCTTATTTTGATAGTGTACCTGCTTTTCTGCTACCAAGTGAAGGTACTGTACACATCTCTGAGTCACAACTTTTTTCATGACTAGACCATTCTGAGGTGAGACTGGTTCCATTTCTTGGAAGAGCTTATTCTTCTTTATTCTTCAGTCGAGGGTCAGAAAACTACGGCTTTGGTGCCCAGGGACTCGCCTCTCCTGGCGCGAGTCTATTAAGCTCTGGAGGTTGCAGCCCCCCGGCCCCCACGTGAAGAATACACAGAATAAGAGGACCGCCCCACTGGATTCTGGGCGGGGAGGTTAATGTAAATAATGCCTGGAAGTACTGGCTTGGCATTTGGCACGTAGAACGGGTTCAGATCCTGCCAACGGAGTCTGAGGCTCTGTCATCAAGCTGGCCCCCAACGCTTCTTGGTCCTGTCAAAAGTCCTGCCTTGGAATTCCTAACCGTGGTTATTAAAAATGAACAGTTAACCTCCCCTGTCCTCCCCCGCCCCATACACAGATGCACCGCCCGCCCCGCCCCCGGGAGTGGTGCGGCGGCGACGGGGGCAACGGGGATCCGCAGTCCCCTCGCCGCCCCCCCCCCGCCCCGTCCACCGGGCGCTCCTCGGGGAAGACCCAGCCGAGTCCCGGCCCACGAGGGCAGGGCCCCGCGCGCGGCTCGGCTTCCCATTGGCTGCCGGCAGCGCCACCTGCCCGCGGGTGCGGCGGGGAGGCGGGCGGTGTCAGGTGGCGGGTCCCCGCCCGCCCGGCGGGCCGGGGAAGGGCTGACATGAGCCCGGCGGGACGCTGGGCCCTCCTGTTGCTCTGCCTACTGAAGTCCGCCCGAGGTAAGGGTGCGCGGGGGTCGGGGGCGGGGGGCTGCGGGGCGCCCGGGGCCGGCCGAGTCCGCCCTCGGACCCGGAGCTCCGAGGAGGGAGAGCGGGAGGGAGGGACGCGGGCCGAGCCTTTCAGCAGCCACCGGAGCGGAGTGCTAATCGCACTGCCCACTCACCGCCAGTTTTCTTCCAAGGATTAAACGCACCCGAGTTTTTGACATTTTTTTTTTTTTCGGGAAGAAAACTGATCCAGTGTGCTAATGCCAGTTCAGCTTTAGGGGAACAGGAAAAAGGAGACAGTTTATAAAGTGGCTGCATTTATGTATAAAGTGCATTTTAAGGGCTCCTGAAAGCACTGTCGTCTGCATTAATACCTCGCTTGGGTCTCACTGGTGGGGAAAGTCAGCAAGAAGTGCCCTGCCCACCCGCGCAGTCCCCTCCCCTTCCTCCAGCGGCGGGTGTCAGATGCTCTAAGTGAGAGAGAGGAACTCTGGCTTAGCCTGTGCCCTGCTGTGCCTCTGTCAAGCCGCCTTTCTGCCGCCCCCACTGGTGGGTGAATAAGGTGGCAGAGTACAAAAACCTTAGGATAGGACCAAGCTACAAAGTCCCAACCAGTGCAGGGAGATGGTCCTGAAACTGTCCCCGGGACATCTTCCTAGTCTTAGACTCAGTTTCAGAGCTAGAAGGGGCCCTTGGACATAACCTAACAATTATATTAAAATCCAGCGTTTATTGAGCAACTTTTTTTTTGTGCTGGGCACATTATCCTCTTTAAGCGTTACAACATAGTCATCCCATTATGTAGATACTATTTTCTCCCTTTTCAGGTGTAGAAACTGAGGCTCAGAGCAATGCAGGGAGTTGCCCGAGGAGACAGGCAGAGAGGCGAGAACGGAGAATACCGGCTGAAGCCAGCATGGCCAGCTCCCACGGTAGGGTGGGTAGCCGGCACAGGGCAGCCCACCCACCTCGGTCAGCTCAGAGATGCCCCAGCCCCTGGTGCCTCCTAGCAGTGAGGGGTTTTTGCAGCTGATGAGGGGCAGTGTTGAGGAGGGGAAGAGAGGTGCTCTGTCTCCCAGGCTCACTGCCAAACTCAGTACCTTTCTTGTCTAGCCCCAACTGTACTTACCCTGAGGGGATTTTAATTTGCGCAACGTAAACTGTGGTGTGATGATTTAGGGTGAAGGGCAGTTAGATCCAGGTTCAAATCCTGGCTACTACCCAAACTAGCTGTGTAGCCTCAGGGAAATTATTGGCCTTCTGTCTCTGCGCCTAGTGCCCCTCCAGGGAAGGGGAATGACACCTACCCCGCCAGGTGGTTTGTCCTGACGATTAATTGATTGAACGATGGAGGTTTTGTGTATAAAACACCAAACCCTTTGAAGGCTCCGTAGAGGGCAGATACTCCAGCTGCTGTCTCTCCACTGTGGCCAAGCTCAGACTTTGAGCCTGTCCTGCCCACAGATACCTTGTACGTGGCTTGCAGGCAGACCCTGGCCTCCTGCCAGACGTCAGTTGGGAAATCCAGAATCTGCTGGGAGCGGCAACGGCACCAGCATTCCAGTGATCCATTTCTGGCTCGTGGACACCGGATAGGGTGGAGACAAGCACCCATATTTGGGTCTGAAGGGCCAGGAGTGGGAGAGCCGGCTGAGAGCCACTGGCAGAACTGCCGCCTCTCTCCCTAATACCTGATGTTCTGTGTTGATGTAAGAAACATTCAAGCCTGTACGGAATTTTTGTGAGTTTATTTGAGCCAAACAATGACAATTGCTGGGATGCAAAATCTCAATGGACTGAGAAGTGCTCCAGAGAATGGCAGTTTGGCGCCTTATTTCATACATTACAATAGAAGGAGGAGACATGAGGGGTTTACCTGGAATCCATGTTGGGAGGCGGGGAAAGCAAAGTGCAGGGGGCGGGGTGGGGGTGAGGGAGCCAGGGGGCACGGGACTTCTGGGATTGGATAACAGGTAAAAAGTGATAGACACAAACTTCTTTTACACGGGTGGGTAAAGGAGAGTTAACAGTCGACAGTTAACGTGATAACAGCAAGGGAGGGACCTGTGGTCTCAGCTCCGGCAGGGTGACGTGCCCAAGGAGTTCAGAGAAAAGGGAAGTTACCTTGACATTGCAAAGGTGTGTTGCCATAGATACAGGAAGAAAGTAGGCTCAGTTAAGGTACAGTGACCTTTGTTAAGGAAAAATACCAGCCTGGGATGTGACTACCCAGCACAAGCTGCTTTTGTTAACAAGTTTTCATTTCAGACCATACTTTGTGGTCGCTTTAGGTCTCTGAGTTAGTAAGGCCGCCACGCAGACCTCCCCGGAGCTTGGCAGGCTGGCACGTGGCCCCTTTGCATCCCCATCTGTAACCTGTGTGGATTCTGTCGTGGCCCAGGTGGCACGTCAGGGCACTGGATTCCCCGTGGGACCATGAGCTCCTAAAGGGCAGGAATGGAGTCGTGCTCTTCTTTGAAACCACTGGCACGTGGCAGTCAGTGATGTTGTTGACCCGCGATGGTCCACTGGTGTTGGGAGAATGAAGCCGAACAATGAAGCCAGGACAACCGAGAGGAGGCTGTGTGGTCAAGAGCTCAGACGGTGGAGTTGGCCTGGCCTTGACTGGAGTTCTGATTCTACAACTTACTAGCTGAGAGGGCCTCAGTTTCCTCATCTGCAATGTGATGATCATTATTAGTACCTACCTCCTAGCGGTGTGGGCGGACTGAACATGCAGGCAATGTATTTAACATAGTGCCTGGCACATAGTTAGGACACACTACACGTTACCTGCTATCATCATCATCATCACCATTTCATCCTCATCATCACCACTGCCACCTCTTAGAGATGTCTGGGAAGACTCCCTGGAGGAAGTGACCTTTGAATCAAGTCTTTGAAAGATTAGATGGTGAACTGGTCAAAGACATCGGGGTTCGGAGGCTCCCCAAAGAATACAGTGGTTTGAGAAGGCCGAGGAGGCCGAGAAGGAAGACTGGCGCAGCCGAACGGACCTGTCTGGGAGAGGTCAGCCAGATGGCTTGACCGGGCCGTGCTGGGCAGGGCCTCATGGACCTTGATAAAGACCGTGGACTTTATTCTGAAGGCAAGGGAAGGGCATGAAAATGAGCAGTTGTGTAATCAAATGAATATTCCGAAAGAAGAGGGTTAGCAGAGAGATGGAGGAGGAGCCAAGGAGGGGGCCAGGGGCCAGGTGAAGGTGGTCGGGGAATGTGTCGCTGAGATAGTGGTACTCGCTGTTCACTGTTCGCTGGCTGTTCCCAAAGCGTGCCTGGCCAGTGCAGCAGGGCAGGAGTGGGTCAGCTTGGGGAGGGTCTTGTGGGTGATTGTAAAGACTGGGTTTGACCTTGAGTGACATGGAAGTCATCAGAGGGTTGAAAGCAGAAGAGTGGCATATTCTGACTTTCATTTCGTCTTTTGCTGTCATGTGGAGAACAGACCGAGGAGACTAGGCTAGAAGTGGGGAGACCGGTTAGGAGGCCTTGGAAATGATCCAGGTTATCACAGGATTTGTTCATTCACTCAACAGTTATTTGTTGTGCATCTACTGTGTGTCAGGGACCATTACCTGCAGGCTCTGGGGACGAGGCTCATGGAGACCCTCGGGACCGTTCCCTCAGGCAGCACAGGAGACCCAGGAGGCTGTTAGAGGGCTCCTGCTCTGCAATCTACCGCAACCCTCGTGGTCAGAGAGGGCAGCAGCTTCCTCTCAAGGCCCCCGCAGGCTGCCGAGGCCCAGGCAGGGGATGGGGCTACAGTCCAGCCAGTCATGGCGTGGCTGTCACGGGGATCCTGACCCCCCTGTTCCCAGCCTCCACCGTGTCCCCCATGCTTCAGCCACTCCAGGTGACTCCTGGTTCCTCTAAGTCAGGGACCACGTGCCTGCCTGCCATGCTGCTCTTCAGCTCCGAATGGCCATTGTCAAGACCAGCCAGCAGCTGCAGGCTTCATGACCTCTTTCTGCCCCACAGGGAGGCCCCATCTGGCCCCTCCCCAGAACGTGACGCTGATGTCCCGGAACTTCAGCGTGTATCTGACATGGCTCCCAGGGCCTGGCAACCCGCAGAACGTGACATATCTCGTGGCTTATCAAAGGTAAAGGGGAGCCTCCAGGCCGGTGGGTGGGGCCTCTCCAGGAAAGCTGCTGAGGGTGTGGGCAGTGCTGGCCGGCTGTCTGCACCCCTGGGGAGTTGGCATGTGGCAGGTATTTGGAGAGGGCACTCGATAAAGGTGTGGAGTTGGGGATCATGTGGAATGCAGAACAGTGCACAGGTGATAGGCCTGCCAGGGGTGAGAATGTGTCTTTGAGAAAAGTGGGAGTGGGGCTTGGAGGACAGACTGCAAGAGAGCTTGCGAAAGAAAGACCCGTGTCAGGAGGCAGAGAACACAGGACACGTACGTGTGATTGCTGTGACGTCAGCACTGAGGCCATGCATCGAACGGGCTTGGTCTCACACAGGCCTCTGAGGAAGGATGCAGCTCCAGCGCACAGTTAAGGAAACTGAAGCAGCAAGAGTGTGTTTTGCTCTGAGTGACACCGCTGGGAGTAGTGGAGCTGGGACAAATTGATTGAAGAGTTGGAAGTCCATCCTCTGGACCTGTATAATATTTTCCTTCCCTTTTATACTTTTTAAACCTCTGTGAGAATTGCAAAATGGTAATATTCTAATTGTGTTTTTCATTTATTAGTTGAAATTATTTTGTAAAGAGATGCTTCCTCCAAGTAGTATTTGAGCAGACAGCAAATAGGCAAGACAGGATAAATGCTTGGTTTTTATTTATTTTTATGTATTTGCTTTTATTTACCAGTATTCAAGATAATGAACTGGTTCCCTATCATCTCCCAATGGTGATTGATTCCTTTTTTATTGTCATTATGAACCCATGTATTTAAACATATATGGCCATTTCAATCTGTTGCAACTTATTCAACTCAGGGAAGCTTGAACTGTCCCATCTTTGGCTGGCAAAAGTGCCATCGAGTTGCTCCTGAGTCCTTTTAACTTGACCATGGTAGAACTGCCAACTGTATTGCTGTCTGTTATGACAAGAGGTTCCAAGTTCATCTGCTCAATTCCTAACCTACATCCTGGCTCGGCCACTTCTCCATTGAGTAGGAAGTCGTTTGAAAGGACACAAACCCATGGGCTCACTGGGCTGATCTCCACGTAGCTGTTCCTTTTACATCTCTCCCTGGCGTCTACCATGATGGCTGATTACATCTACAAGTTGCCACCCAGATCACTTTGTCAAAAGATTTTTTTTTAGCCACACTCTTGGCATTCTCTCAAGAACGTGTTTCTCCTTTTTTGCAACATGGATAGGCTGAGAATTTTTCAAGTCTTCTGTTTTTGCTTAGCATTCCTTCTATTTATCACTCTCTTCTCTCACTTTACTATAAGCAGGGAGGAGAAACCAGGTTACTCCTTTAACACTTTGCTTAGAAGTAGTCTCAGCTAAATGCACAGGTGCGTCACCTTAAACTTCTACCTGCCACAAAACACTACAGCAGGATGCTAGTGTTTGCCACTAGACACAGCGGCCACGTTCTTTGCCACTTTGTAACAAGGATCACCTTGCCTTCAGCTTCCAATGACACATTCCTCCTTCCCACCTGCGATCTCCCCAGAATCACCTTGAACATCCATTTTCCTGCCAACGGTCTTTTGAAGGCAGTGCTGACTTTTTCTAACATGCGCCTCACAACTCTTCCAGCCTCTACCCACTGCCCAGGTGCAAAACCACTTCCACATTTTTAGGTGTTTGTTACATCAGTGTCCCACTCTGATACCTAAAAATCTAAGTTTTAAATGTTAGTCTTTTTAACTTAGTTTTGCTAGGGCTGCCATAACAAAATATCATAGACTGGGATGGGGGCAAGGCTTAAGCAACAGAAATTCATTTCTCACAGTTCTGGAGGCTGGCAGTCCAAGATCAAGGCATTGGTGTGCTTGCTTTCTCCTGAGGCCCGTCTGCTTCGCTGGCAGGTGGCCACCCCCTCACCTGGCCTTTTCTCTGTGTGTGCTAGCACCCCTGCTGTCTCCCGCTCTTCTTACAAGAGTGCCAGTCTTACTGGTTTAGGTTCCCACCTTGATGACTGAATTTAATTTTTTTTTTGATCCTCACCAGAGGACATGCCCGTTGACTTTAGAGAGAGGGAAGGAAGGGAGAGAAACACCGATGGGAGGGAGAAACATCAGCGGGCTGCCTCTCTCACATGCCCCAACTGGGGGCCAAGCCCGCAACCTAGGTATGAGCCCTGAGTGGGAATCAAACCCATGACCTTTGGGTTTATGGGAGGACACTTCAACCAACTGAGCCACACTGGCCAGGGCTAAATATAATGTTTTTAAAAACTTTTTTAAAAATACATTTATTGATTTCAGAGGGAGAGGAGGGGGGAGAGAGAAACATCGATGTAAGAGAAGAATTGATTGGTTGCTTCTCACTTGCACCCCAGTTGGAAACTGAACTACGACCTAGGTATGTGCTCTAACTCGGAATTGAACCAGTGACCTTTTGGTGTGCAGGACGATGCTCCAACCAGCCACACCAGCCTGGCTGCATTTAATATTAATTACCTCTTTAAAGGCTCTGTCTTCGAATACAGCAGTCCCACTTTATCCATGGTTTTCCTTTCTGGTGGTTTCAGTTACCCGAGGTCAACTGTGGTTCAGAAACATTAAATGGAAAATTCCAGGAATAAACAATTTGTAAGTTTTAAACTGCACTCCATTCTGAGTTGTGTGATAAAATCCCGCACCATCCCACTCCATTGCGGGACGTGAGTCATCCCTTGGTCCAGCATATCTGTGCTGTATCTGCTACCCACCTGTTAACCGCCTGGTAGCCATGATGGTCATCAGTTTGTTTATCAGCAATAGAAAGGCCACATTCGCATAACTTTCATTACGTGTGTTGTTATAGTTGTCCTACTTTATTATTGTTGTTACTCTCTTACTGTGCCCAATTTATAAATTAAGCTTTATCATAGATGTGTGTATAGGAAAGACCATATATATGGCCCTGGCTGGTGTGGCTCAGTGGGTTGGGATTCATCCCACCAAGCAAAAGGTCACTGGTTCGACTCTGGGTAAGGCCATATGCCTGGGTTGCAGGTTTAGTCCCTGGTTGGGGTGCTTACAAAGTCAATTGATCAATGTTCCTCTCTCACATTGAAATTCTCTCCATCTCTTTCTCTCTCCCTCCCCCTAGCTCTAAAAAAATAAATAAAATCTTTTTTAAAACCACATATCAATATATAGGGCTTGGTACCATCCATAGTTTCAGGCATTTGCTGGGGGTCTTGGAACACATTCCCCGTGGATAAAGGGGGACTACTGTACAGTCACATGGTGGGGGGTAGGGCTTCAACATACAAATATGGAGGGGAGCACAATTTAGTGCCTGATAAATGGGATTTTATTAAATTTAAAATTTGGCCCTTCAAAAAAGAAAAGTCTGACGAAAATGAAAAGCCAGCAACTGAGAAAAATATTCACAATATATACATTGACAAAGGACTTGTTTCCAAAATAAAGAACTGCTACATCTCAGTAATGAGAAATTGCTCAAAAAGATTTGACAAGTCCCCCTTCACAAAGGAAGGTAGGTGTATGAATGGCCAATGAAAACACGTTCAGTGTCTTTAGCCGTTGGGGAAGAGTAAAGTAAAGCTACAGTGAGACACTACAACACACCCAGGAGAACGGTGACATTTCAAGGACTGACAACGCCAGGTGCTGAGAAGCACGTGGAGCAACTAGGAATCTCGAACATTGTTGCTGAGAGTGTGCAAAGGCACAGTCCGTTTGGAAATCAGCTGGACAGTTTCCTGTAGTTACAGATTCAAATGACCAACTCTCCCAGGTTCTACTCCCCGATCTTTATCCAAGAGAAATAAAAACATCCATACAAAGACTTGCACATGAATGCTCACAGCAGCTTAAGTCACAGTGGCCCTGTTACAGACCGAATCGTGTCCCCTCCCCCCATATGTATTTACCTGTTAGAGCCCTGATCCCCCATGGGACTGTGTTTGGAAATAGGGCCTTTAAAGAGGTCATTACGATTAAATTTGATCTTAAGGGTGGAGCCCTAACCCAGTAGGATAGTGTCTTTATAAGAAGAGAAAGGGACACCAGGGCGCTCACACACAGAGAAAAGGCCAGTAAGGGCGCAGAGAGAAAGAAGCTGGACACTGCAAGCCAAGGGGAGAGGCCTCAGGAGAAAGCAGACACCTTGATCTTGGACTTCCGGGTTCCAGAACTGTGAAAAAAAATAAATTTCTATTGTTACCAGGAGTCCCCAACCTTTTTGGCACCAAGGACGGGTTTCATGGAATGGGGTAGGACGGGTGGGAGCAGGGGGCGCTGGGGTGGGGAGCAGAAGGGGGTGGAGCTCAGGCGCTAATGCCTGAAGCTTTGCTTTGCTCCCGCTGCTCACCTCCTGCTGTGTGGCCGGGTTCCTAACTGGCCGCAGACTGGACCGGTACTGGGGCGGGGGGGGGGGGGGGATTGGGGGACCCCTGGAGGCCACCTAGTCTGGTGTTTTTATCATGGCGGCCCAAGCTGACTGATTCATCAGGTTTCTTTTCTTCAGTGGTGAAGGCTTTTGGTGTCCTTAGAAATGTTTACCTGACTCATGGTCATAAAGATACTCTTCTATGCTTTTTCTAGAAGTTTTATAATTTTAGCATTTACATTTCTGTTTTTTTATTATTTTTAAAACTTTCCTTCTGCCCTGGCCAGGTAACTCACTTGGTTGGAGCATCAACCCTATACACCAAGTCTGCGGGTTTGATCCCCGTTCAGGGCACATACAAACATCAACCAATGGACGCATCGATAAGTGGAACAACAAATCGATGTTTCCCTCTCTATCTCCCTTCCTCTTTCCAAAATCAGTTTTTTAAAAACCTTCAAAGACAAAAACTTTCCTTCTTTTTCTCTCTTCTTTTTAAGACACTATCTGTTGCAGTAACTCGCTCTTGTAGTCTAATATATTCAAAAAACCTAAAAATTAGGTTTTTAAAAAATCTCATTTTTTCTGAGCTTCTGTTTTATATTTTTCTTTCATGTGTTACATCATTTCTTAATGTCTTTTAGACCCTTTTGCAGGAGTAGGTTATGGTTTTGATCTGTTCACGTATGGGGTTTTTTTTTTTTTACACATTTTTTTTTACTTCCTCAGTTGATTGCTTATTAACTTCTTAATTTCTATCCTTTCTTATTTTCTGTTATAGGTATTTAAAGCTATATGTTACCCTCTAAGTACTACTTAGCAGTATCTCATACATTCTTATGCATATTTATTTTGTAATCATTTAGTTTTAGGTATTTACAAATTTCCATTATTCTTTCTTTGATCCATGTTTAATTTTAAAACATTAAAAATTTTTTACCTTTCTTTAGTTCTCTTTGCATTAGTAATTTGTAACTGGATTATTTTCAGTCAGAGGAAACAGTTCATGAGATAACTATACTTTGAAATTTCTTGAGGGTTGCTTTATTTTTCTTAATCCTTGTTAATATTTTTTAAAAGAATTTATTTATTTCTTAGAGAGAGGGGAAGGGAGGGAGAAAGAGAAGGAGAGAAACATTGATGTGCCAGAGAAGCTACAACCGGTTGCCTCTCACGCGCCCCCACTTGGGGACCCAGCCTGCAGCGCAGGCACCTGACCGGGAACCCCACTGCAGCCTTTCGGTCTGCGGGGTGACGCCCACCCCGCCGCGCCAATCAGAGCCGCTCGTGGTTTTAACGCGCCGTCAGTGCTCACGTGCGGCGTGCCCGGTGCGTTCAGCTTGTTCTCTGTGTGCTCACTGGACCAGCTTCGATCATGTCGTTGTTCATTCTTTACATATTAAAATTATTTCTCTTTGTTCAAGTGTTAATTACCGAGTCAGTTGCGTTAAAAATCTCCCGTTATAATTACGGGCTTTCCGTTCCTTCCTGTAGTTGGTCTATTTTTGCTCCAAAACATATCCCGAATTTAGCCCCTCCTCCCCGAGCCTGCCATGGCTCTCTGTAGGGTCCCCGCTGCAACCTCCCAGCTGGATTATCCGAGACTTTTTAAATATGTTCATTAAATCAGCCCCCTCCCTGTTCAGAACCTTCCAGCGGCTTCCTGTCACCCTCAGAATAAAATCCAAACTCCTTACCCAGATGGTGAGGCCCACCCGCTCTGCCCACCGCCTCTCTGTCCTCACCTCCAGTCTGCCCTCAGCTGCCCCCTTTCTTGTCCGCTGGACCACACCAGGCGCCTTGCTTTTCTCTGGCTGGGTCAAGATCCTTCCCGTTGCAGGGCTTTTGCTGTTACTACCCCCAGCTTTCACCTGGCTCCCCTCTCATCATTGCAGCCTCAGCTTAATGCTGCCTTCTTGGCCTTTCCTGAGCCACCTTTGGAAGGCAGTCGCTCCCACATCATCTGCTATCACTGCATTTACCAGCTCCTACATTTATCTTGTCGCTGTGCCCGAGATCTCTCATCCCCTCCCACCAGAGTGCAAGTTCCCGAGGACCTGGTCCATCATGCACTGCTGATTCCCCAAGAATAATGCCCAGAGCTCAGGTCCCTTCTGTGGACCTCAGCATCCTCAGGAGGTTGGCGTCATGGACCTGCCTGTCACCCTCTGACATCCATCCACACAGCACCCAGCACAGTGGCTGGCACAGGGCAGGTGGCCAGTCCATAAATGCCTCCATCAATAAACTCACAGAAAATTGTTACCAGTACTAGCAATAGCAGCCACCACAGCGGCCCTTTGAGGGAGGCATGACAGATGGGGAGGCCGAGGCTCAGGAGTGGTGACCTGCATCGCGTCCCAGAGCTAGTGAGGGGCAGAGCCACAGATCCCACCCACGTGTGTCTCTCCAGAGCCCGGGCTCCCACCTGGAATGTTCTCACTCTGTCTCATCCAGATGCTGGCTGCTCGGACAGATGGATGGATGGATGGGGGACAGATGGGTGGGCAAACGGCTGGATGAGGCAGAATAGAGGGACGCACGATCACATGTTCTCAAGTTCCCTTATCCCAAGAGGCGGAGTCCATGGCCCAAGCTGTTCTGTTTCCTCCCTCAGCTTTGCAACAACCCCCAGACGGTGGCGAAAAGTGGAGAAGTGTGCAGGAACCAAAGAGCTGACATGCTCTCTGATGTGCCTGGAGAAACAGGACCTATTCAACAAGTTCAAAGGGCGTGTGCGAGTGGTTTCCCCCAGTGCCAAGTCCGTCTGGGTGGAGTCCAAGTACCTGGAGTACCTTTTTGAAGGTAGGTCTATGGGTAAGGGACTGAATGGGAGGCCGTCTGTCCCAGAACTTGGCTCAGTGGCACCGCTGTGCAGCCATCTGTCTCTCAGGTCCCCAAAGCAGAGAGCAGTGCTGTCCACGCAGCCTGACCTCGTGACAGGGACGTAGGGGCGGGGCACCATTGCTGGCAGTTCAGCTTGTACCTCCTACCTTGACAGTCATGACCTTCTATTGAACACAGCCTTGGCCACGAACTAGACAGGCACTTTATAGACTCATTTCTATTTTTTTATGTTCAACATCTCTCTTTATAAAACAACTTTTTAAAATTCTGGCTGCATAAGTAATTTCTGTACATTGTAGAAATGAGGTGGAAAGAAGATAAAAATAGAGACGAAAACATTCCCCATGCTTCGCTCACTCAGAAGTCTCCAGTGTTAACACTGAGTCAGGAGCGTACTCTCCTCCCAATATATTTTATTTCTAATCCTCGCAATAGACCCGAGAGTTTCATTTTCATCAACCCAATTTCTACAAAATAAATAAAGCAAGACTGGCAGAAGTTAAGCAACCTGCCAGGAAACCCAGCTAGGTAGTGACGGAGGTGGAATATGACTCTGGATCTTTCTGAGCTTGGACGAGGTGCCGGGCCAGATCGGGAGTGAGGTGGGGTGGTAAGGACAGGAGTATAAACACTCAGACAACCGCCGCATGGAGCCGAGCTGGAGCTGGAAGGGAAGGGGGCAAGGGGTCGAATGAGCGGTGGCAGAGAAGGGAGAAGGGATGACTTGGATGGGAGGATGCTGGTGGGTGGATGGAGAGAAGGAAGAAAGGGATGAAGGGGTAAGAAGAAAGGAAGCAGCGAGAGGCTGGAGGAGGGCACGAGGGATGAGTGGAAGGAAGGAGGCTGGGCGGAAGGACCAGTGCTTACCAGGGAGGAAGCTAGTTTGGATGGAGAGATGGAGGACAGGAAGGAGAGGCAGGTGGGCGGATCGGTGGTCAGCGAGTGTGGAAGCAGGGCTGGCTGGCTGCCTGCAAAGGGCTGCAAGGAAGGGGAGGCCAAGGAGGAATGAACAAACAAATGACAGAAGGAAGTACACGAAGGAAAGTTATAAGAAAAGGAAAAAATGGGTGGATGACTGGCTGGAAAGGGTGGAAAGGCAGGCAGGAATGCCGGCTGGAAAGGAAGGATGGGAGGACAGGAAGAAAGGCTCTCCGGCTGGAGAAGAGGGACGGATGGACCACTGGACTGGCTGCATAGATAGGAATGAGAGGCAGGAATGGAGAGCAAGAGGCAGAGGGAAGGCTACTTATTAAACAAAGTTCTTTTTGCCGCCTCCTCCCTAAAACTCTTCGGATTCTTTCGCAGCACACCCCAAGCCTGAGTGACCCTTCCTGCCTTTTCCTGCCCTCCCCTGGGGCCCTGGTCACTTTCTGTCTTGGGTTTTGGTTGTTTGTGTATTTCATCTCCCTGTAATTTCTTTCAGCTCCTGCAGGTCAGGATCCACAGAGGCCTCATCTCCCCATTACCCTCAGCTCCCTGCCCAGAGCTTACTACTGAGTCGGCGTCCCCTGGACGCCGACCAGCAGCACTGTGAGATGACACATTTGTGCTGTTTTAAGCCACTGAGTTTGTGGTCACGTGTTGCCGCAGCCACAGGAAACTGACACACGAGGGCAGGCTTCTGGCAGGCCAGTGATATTGGAAGGGCACGAAGGTGGGAGGGACAGTGTGAATAAAGGCAGGTTTACTGTGAGTTCGGCTGGGTCCTTTCACCTCTCTGAGCCTCAGTTTGCCCCTCTTTAAAATGGGACCGGTGACATCTCCTCCCAGGGACACTGCAGGGCTTAAATAAAAGGGCTGGGAGGAGCCTGATGCACAGCAGGTGTTGGACAGACACCAGTGCCGGGTTCCCCTTTCCAGGAGAGCCCCCTGGGGCTCAATGTGGACTTGCCTAGAGGCAGGGGGATGGGCACACCGTGGCCTCCAAAGGGCACTGACAAGTCCTGCTCTGTTTCTGCCAGTGGAGCCGGCCCCGCCCATCCTGGTAGTCACTTTGACAGAGGAGGTCCTGAAGGTCAACGCCACATACCAGCTGCCCCACTGCATGCCCTTGTCGAATCTGATGTATGAGGTGGATTTCTGGAAGGAGGAGGCTGGGAACAAGGTGCGAATCTCCTCTCCTGCCCTCTAACTGTACCCCCTCCCCTCACTGCCCCACCAAACCCCAGCGCTCCTCACCCTGCCAGCCTGCTACCTGCACACCTCCTCCAGGAAGCCTTCCCCCCATACCTCTCACTCTGGGCGTACCCCTGACTCCGCCTAGTGCAAATGGCCTGTGGCCCACCCCTGTTCTTCTCCACCTAAGAGGCCAAGGGCAGGGCATCCTGTTCCTGTACCTTACAGGTGGTAACAGCACAGCAGTCTTCTACCTAATATTTTTTAAATTATAAAACCTTCTTTCTAACATTACAATCTCGTTGAAACTGGATGAGCTACAGGGTGCCTGCTTACCAAGCCACCAGAGTCACCGTAGAAAAATCAGGGACCACACATCAGCTCTAAGGGGGAAACCGAAAGTACCAGCGATGACCACAAATAGCTCTTCAGTGCCCGTCCCATTTCAGACCTGTTTTCTGTGGGTGTGCGCGTGTTTGCACATATTTGTGTGTGGTAGGGCTGGCCAGCGTCTTCTGTAAAGTGCCAGAGAGTAAATATTTGTGGTTTTGCAGACCACATGGCCTGTCACGGCCACTCAGCTCTGCACCTGCAATACACAAGGAACCAGAGACAATAGATACATGAGCAGGCTTGGCTTTTACCCAGTGAAACTGGTGACAAAGAAGCTGGCAGCCAGATTTGCCCACAGGCTGTGTAGTCGGCCTACCCCATCCTTACTGATTTTTTCTGTCCCTGGACATCCATGCCCGTGACCCCCTGCGTCCTCTGACCCCTAGGGAGTTCCTCTTCATCTGATGTGGTCCGGGCCTTCACAGCCTTACAAAGGGTCTAGACCAGCACCGGCCAATAGAAATAGAATGTGAGCCACGTACATGGTTCTAAGTGTTCCTCATTAAATGAAGTAAAAAGAAACAGGGGAATTTAATCTTCATAATATATTTCGTCCAAAAGAATGTATCATTGCAACATGCAGTTAATATAAAAATTATTGAGATAATTTACATTCTTTTTCCCTTAGCCTGTGAAAGCCGGTAGGTATTTTATATTCAGAGCCCATCCCAGTTTGGACTGACCACACTTCAGGTGCTCGGGAGCTGCGTGTGGCCAGTGGCTACTATACTGGGGAGGCATCTGCTATATTGGACAGTGTCTGCAATGGCTGAATGATGCCTCCCCCAAATAAGTTGGGAGGCCCTTAGGGTAGGAAGCCTGAGGAATATGCCCCTCAAGGTGAAGGCCAGCAAGACCCTGGGCAGGAGGCAGGGAGTGACCTTGAATGGCAGGGGTGCTTTTGACCCCAGACCATGTGTGCCTCGACACTCAGCAGAAGAGAAGCCAGACAGTGCTAGGAAGTGCTTCCCTCACACTTGAACGTTAACGCAGGATCACAGCTGTATTCTGCCTGCCAGCCCCGCCCCACCCGCCCGTGGAAGCCGGTTCCCGCAGCAGGTCTGCTCACTTCTGCTTCGTCCTCCAAACAGACCCGACTTCCCGCCACTCGCCACGGCCAGGAAACGCAGATCCCCCTCCAGCTAGCTGCCAGTGGGAACCACTGCGTCAGCGCCAGAACCATCTACATCTGCGATGACCCTAAATACAGCGAGTTCTCCAAGCCCACCTGCTTCTCCCTGGGGACCCTAGGTGGGTGCAAAGTGGGACGGGATCAAGGGGTTTTCCTATGAGCGTCAGATCTTCATAATACGGGGGTTAAGAATGTGAGTCTAGAGACAGACTCACCTCGATTAAAATCCCGGCTCCAGCACACTCACTGTGTGTCTTTGGGCAGCTGACGTAACCTCTCTGAAACTTGGTCTCCACAGTCTGTAGCGTGGGTTTATTCTCATGAGGATGAATTAGGATGACGCATGTCGGTGATGCCCTCGGGACGCATGCAGTTGGTGGGCTGGCGCCACCGTTGCGGTTTCTGTAATGGCTGTTGCTTTTCCTTAGGAGTCGGCTGGGTGTCCCTGGTGCTGCTGCCACTGCTGTTGGTTCTCCCCGCGGGGTGTGTGATCTGGAAGAGCTGGGTGACCTGGAAGAGCTTCTCGAGGAACCCTTGGTTTCAGCGGGCAGAGATGCCGCAGGCTCTGGTATGGCGAATCGGGACTGTGCGTCTGAGGGGAGGGGTGTTGACGAGAAAGGAGGCGCAGAGAGACTCAGAGGCAGTTCAGGTAGACTATCCAGATGGCCCCGATTGGGAAGCATCTCCTTTCTTTGTGTCTAAAGGTCACTGTTAGTTAACTAACTTCATCTCTTCTAAGATTTGTCAGATGCACAGAGCAAAGCCCCCAGCCTTGGGACTCAGGAGAGATGCTCAGAAAGGGAAGAGAGAGGGTGGTACCAAAAGGGGAAATCTTAGAAGGGTCCCCACACTTGGTTCACAACCTGACCCAGGGTGAGTCTTGCCCAGGCCGACCCTGGAGTGTCCACACTCATCTGCCAGCGCACTGCCTTAGAATGCGGCGGCCAGCGAGGTCAGGGGAAGCCTGGAGAGGTCAGAGGGTCAGACTTGCTCAGATGAGGGTGGCTGGGCTGTAGGTGAGGCTCAGGGGGCACCTGGGCTGGGTGGGGGCTTTGAGGATGGATTCCAAGTGTCCCCACCACGTGGGAGGGGATATTTGTGAAGTTCCCCCCAGCAGCCAGCACCTGCATCCTGGGGGGCTGTCTCTGGCCTCTGGTGTCCGCTCGGCCCATGCACGTGGCAGTCTGCAGGTGCCGGGGAGTGGCACTGCCTCCATCCCTCCCACCGCCCACCTGGTGGCGCTCCGACATTCGGCTCCGAGTCCCCACCAGGGTCGAGTCGGCTGCCTTAGAAGTAACTTGCCAGATGACACCCATGTTCAAGGCAGCTCCCCTACCCCTGTCTGATGTGCCCACTCCCTTGTCAGCCTTTCCTGGGATCACTTCCCAAAGAAACCATTTACAGTCGCATCCTTCAGCAGGGGCTGTTTCCAGGGGGCCCGGTTAGGACAGCCTTATGCTTCAGGAAAGCCTGGACCTCCTGTTCTTGTCTCCTCTGCCCACATCAGGACTTTTCTGGACACAGACTCCCCGTGGCGACCTTTCAGCCCTGTGGCCCCGAGCCCCTGGATGGCTTGATCCTCTGTCCCCAGAAGGAACCCACCAGAAGAATCAAACTGATCTCTAGGGTCAGGGCCCTAGCCATCGTCCAGGCAGGATCAGAGGAGGACGGAGCTGAGGAAGAGGATGACGAGGAGGAGGACACAGACGACGATGTCAGCTTCCGGCCCTACATTGCACCCCCTCCCTTCCTGGAGCGGGAGCGCCAGACCCCGGGGCAACCTGAGGAAGGGGTCCAGGTCAAAGGCTGCCCTGCTTGGGATTCTTCAGACGGAAGCTGGGCCAGCACTGTCGGCTCCTGCCCCTCAGACGGGGCTGGGTCCTCCGGCTATTTAGTCAAGAAGGGGCTGGGCCAAGTGCTGGGTGAGGACAGGTGTCAGGACCCTCTGCTGCTCCCCAAATTCTCCAAGGACTTGGGTTCCCTGAAAGAGCTCCAGAGAGATGACCCCTCCTCCTGGGCCGGCTGGGGCTCCTCGTCACCGTCACCGAGGCTGAAACTGGCCCCCGGGGAGCCTCTAGTTTCTTTTCAGACACTGACCTTCGGCTGGGACAGCGGCACCGAGGAGGGGGAGGAGGAGGAGGAGGAGGAGGAAGAGGGTGGGAGCGAATCAGAACTTGGGGACAGCAGTGCTGGCAGCTGGGGGACTGACAGCCTGCAGAGGACTGAGGCCAGGAGCGTGACACTGGGGCATTACATGGCCAGGTGAGCTGTCCCCCGGCTTCCTGCCAAATCTGGTGCTACTGAGCTTCCCAAGGACCCAAGGTGCCACTGGGACTTGAAAGCCTGAGAACATCGGCCCTGGCGTGGCACAGTGTTCTCTCAGCGCTTCCCAAACCCCAGCTAGAGGCCATTTGTCCGTCTGGTTGAGCGGTAAGGAGCCACCTCATGCTGGGACCCACCAGCTATGGGCGGAGCTCCAAAAGGACTAGAGAAGAGGATGGGCTGAGCTCAGACCACCCCACTGTCCCTGGGGTGAAAGGTCAGGTGGAAAAATCATCCCTGGACACAGGTGCGGCCAGGTCACAGTGGACATCAAGGGCTGACACCACAAGGGGCCGCCTGGGTCGAGGGCAGGACGTTCGGAGGCACAACTGTGTCAGAGCCTCCTGCCTTTCTCCAGCACCACCCCCCAAGTCTTGGGCTCCTGATTCATGAGCCCCCAGGGCAGGCCACAGTGAGGAAGAACCTAGTTGACAGACGGCGTTGGAGGGGAAGGGAAGGGCGGCCCTCAGTTGCATCCCCATCTCCGTCGTGGAGCTGCACAGGTTTGCTGTCAGGCCAGCCGACCCGGGCCCAAATCCCAACTCTGCCGTTGCCCAGTCCTGTGACCTGGGTGAGCGCCTTCCTTCTCTGCGCCAGGGTTCCCTCATCTGCACTTCCCAGCTGGGGTGTGGGGATCCTGGTCAGGAAACCCAGCCCAGGGGGTCCTCAGCCCCTCTCCCTTTGCCCATTGAAAAACCAAACAGTGCATCTTCCAGGGGCTTCTGGTTTGTTTGGGGTGGGGCAACAGCCTGGCAGGGACAGGACCCCCAGCTGTGACCCTGCTGCAGACAGCACTTTGACCCTCTGGCTGGCCACTGTGGTTATAAAAAAGTCCCATCTTCCCTGCCTGTTATGAGAAACCAGTGTCTTCTAGAAACAGGCCGTTCCCGGGGGCAGTGATGGGTGCTCGCTTCGTTAACCTGCCCCCACCAGTGTGCGGACGAGCACAGCCGAGTTTCCACCCACAGGCACCAGGATTCTGTCTAAAGCAGCCGAGAGGTTGACCTATGTGTATCTCTTCGGTCTCTGGCCAGCTGGTCCATCTGCCGTTCCCTTGGCCGTGTCCGCAAAGTGCCGAGGTCACAGCAAGGACTTCCCAGGGGCACAAAGCTGGCAGGAGGCCTTCGCTGCTGGGACTCACAGGCATACGCACACGTGTGCACACGTGTGTGTGCTTGGACAGGGGTGAAGGCTTGTCCACATCGCTGAGTGCAGAGGAGGAAGAACACACTGAAGCCTCGCTGCTAGGCAAGGCTGAGGCTCGGGGTCTCTCCCAGGAATTGCCGACTGAAGCTGGAGTTCCCTCTGGAACCCAGATGAGCTGCTTCATGAAGGTAATTTCGAAAAACAAAGCCGTTAGCATTCTGGTGAAAGAATCACATTATCTTTATTATTATTAAACACTGGGGTTTTTTTAAGCTAAGCTTTTTTTCAACGTTTAATTTCACAGATAAGCCGAGCTTTTTAGTAATTTTAAATTCCAGCTCCTTTACAGTGATTGCATCACAAAAAAACTGTGGGAAACATCCTAACACTCACCCTTTGACGGGCACAGCCAGCCCCAGGGCCACGATGAGGGACAGCGAGTCAAGAATACCTAATGCCTTTGGTTGCAGCAACTTAATAATTTTTCAGAGCACAGTTGACTCTTGAAGGGATTAGGGGCGCTGACCCCACCACACAGTCGAACATTCACATATAACTTTTGAACCCCCCAGAAACTCCAGTCATACCTCAGTATCTGCAGGGTATCGGTTCCAGGAACGCCCCCCTACCAGCCCCGCGTCCGCAGATACCAAACCCCATGCGTGCTCAAGTCTGCCCGCCACATCCGCAAATTCCCAACCAAGGATCAAAAATACTGTTTTTGGTCATGTCTGGTTGAATCTGCAGATGCAAATCCCAGGGATACGGAGGGCCGATTGTATATTTATGGAGAAAAATCTGCGTCTAAACGGACCCGTGCAGTTCAAGCCCATGTCGTTCAAGGGTCAGCTGTACTGAGATTATATATTATTCTTAGATTTTCATATTTATTTCTAACTTTCTATGTTTATATCATATTTAAATAACTTCCTAATGCTCATTTTAAAACTCTGAACTTTTAAATAAAGAGCTCTATTTTTAGAGAAAATGGAAGAATTGAATGGAAAAGTGTGTGCTCTTATTTCTCAAAGTCTCACCACTCACCTGGCTGTTTAACCAGAAGGGTCCTGGGCTGGGTCCCAGCAGCTGAGCCAGAGACCAGGGTTTCTGGGTGCAAAGCGCAGCAGCCATGCCAAAAGCACCCACAAGGGAGTGGAAGCCAGACAGAGGGAGGGCAGCCAGCCCAGGTACACCATCAAACAGGTCACTGCTGGGGGCACTAGGGTCCCTGTCCCCCTGACGGGCATTGGGAGTTCAGTGTTGGCCCCTCCAGATTTGTTCTGCCCGGGCCGGCTGGGGAATTTATCTACCAACTCCCGCTGGTCCTGAGAGGGCTGCCCCCTGCTGTAGAGTTGTAGGTACTTGCAGTCGGGATCCATCGGGGTGAACCCGCGAGAAAGGCGAAGCAATGGAGGTGGGGTAGGACACCCACATCACCTGCTATAGTGAGGCTGGAGCTGTGCCCACCTCGCTGGCAGCTCGCCCCAAGGTAGAACTCCAGTTCGCGGAAGGATACAGAACATCCTCAGTGTCCGGTCTCACAAACCCAAACTCACTCCAGACGAGCACTAACGAAGGTCTCCCAGGTCCCGGCGATTGTCAGGCCACCTGGTCAATGCCCAGCGCTGTCCTTGCAGACTGTCACCTTCTACTTGGGAGCTAGATCCAAGCTGAGCTGATCCGCGTCCCTTTCCCAGGAATTCAGAAGCCTTCCTGGCTGGCTGCACCTGGAACAGGGTCCAACCTACTGCGGCCCTACCCTCCACCCTGAGAAACGGGAAAACCCAGCGTGCCGGGGCGACAAGAATGCGGCTGCCACACAGACCCCTGAGATGAGATCCTGGGTCTGATCCATCCCAGTGGCAGCCCTGTCCTCAGCTTCCCTGCATCCTACTTTTTGGTTGTTGTTTTTTTTTTTTTTAAGAATTTTTATTTATTTGTTTTTATACAGAGAGGAAGGGAGGGGAAAAGAGAGGGAGAAAAACATCAGTGTGTGGTTGCCTCTCTCATGCCCCCTACTGGGGACCTGGTTTGCAACCCAGGCATGTGCCCTGACCGGGAATCAAACCGGCAATGTTTTGGTTCTCAGCTCGTGCTCAACCCACTGAGACACACCAGCCAGGGCCCTGCATCCTAGCTTTAAGCCATCTCCCAGGACTTCCCATTACTTGTAACCAAGCTTCCTTGCCAATTCACATTACATGCATGTCGAAACTTGTGGACAGGTTGGGGCATCTGCCCTCTTGGGTGGATGTACAGTAGGTTCTTTCCAGAAAACAAGGCGGAACTTCCTCTTTAGGTGATTGCCCGGCTGCCTTCCACCCTGACCTCCAATGCCAGGTCATGTTTTGAACGTCTCCTGGCCTGCCCATGGCCAGCTTCTGCGCAGTGGTGGTATGGCCAGCTACTGGGCTGCTGGATTGCACAGGCTCGTACAAGAACAATGCTCAGGGTCGCTGGGAGAGGGGAGGGAGGGGTAATGGGCATCACATCCAGGGAATTCCTGTAGAGAAGCGACTTTTTCTCCTGGCACCAGCACCTGGCACAGGGTGGAGGCTGGTATTGCATAAATGAATGAAGGGATGTGTGAATTGATGTACGAACTGGAGTCAGTAAGGAGCTGGCTGGCCATGGCTGACGTACGATTTTATACGACCAACTGGAATTGTAAGACGGCAGAGATCCTGCACTGGAGGGCACCAAATTCCTGTTGCACGCGGATGCCTGTTCTTCCTCAACCCAGCGTCTGTCCAAGGCGAGGGGATCAGATGCTGCTCAGTGAGGCCAATGGCGAGGGAGGGGCAACCGTGGGAGACGAAGCAGCACGTGACCCCTGCCTGTAACTCTGTTTCCCGTGTGATTTGGCACTCGATCGATCGGTGGCCGCTTGCTTACGTCTTCCATGAGTGCATTCCTGTGTGCACAGAGTGGGGGAAAAGTGATCAAAGTTTTTAAAACTCACACACAGGCCAGAAGTTACAGCTTTATCTAAGCGAGTGAGTCAGCTCCATGAGTCAATTACTCAGCAGATAGTGGCTGGCGCCGGGACCTGTTCCAGCCCCACCTCTCGGCAGGTGATGACACCTATGTAGAGGCGACAGCTCTTTATCGATTGTCAAGAGTCTTTTCCCACTTTACTGCCTCTGTATATGGGTTAGGAGGAGAAGGTAGGGATCCCGAGGTAGGAATGCCTCAGTGTATACTGTCCTGGTGGACAAAACCACCAGCGAGTGGCGAGAAGCCCCCTCCAGGGGCCCACGCCTCCAGGGTAAGTCTCATGGGTTCCTGCATTGCATGTGTCCCCTCCCCTCACCCCCCTCCCCCTCAGTCTCAGCCCCGGCTTCTCTGGGCACCAGATGGGCCCTCTTGAAAGCCAGATTGCAACAGGGGCTCAGAATCCCGCACCCACTCCCATCTCTGAGCTCCAGGCCCCTTCTCAGAACGCACCCATTCCCTCTAAATAACCCTTATTCAACCTCAGCGCCTAAACTGTGGGGTGCAATGCCCACCCTCCTCCGCCCCTGGCATTTGACCGGAGACACTAATGTCCACTCAAACTTCTAAAGGGAACATTTATCACTGTCCTCATTGCCCCCCTACCATCCCCACCAATACACACCAAAGAGTCTGGGTTTTTGCAAAGTTTTCGAGGGACCTCTCTTGATCCTTTGTTCCTCGAGTTGTAACAAAAGAGACTCACAGCAGGAGGTCTCCTCCGCAGAATCTGTCAGGAGGCATCAGCTAGTTGGACCCTCCCAGCAACCCTGGGGAGTAGAGACTATTGTTTCCTTTTTGTAGATGAGAAAGCTGAAGGTGAGAAATTAAGGGACCTACACACTGCAGGAGTGGCGGAGCTAGGATTTGAACCTGGGTCTGTCTGCCCAAAACCCATATTCTGTTCACTTCCTGGTTCCCAGGGGCCATGTGAAACTGCTCCCCCAATCCTGGCATGAGACACAGGGTCTTCTTCATGTTTCTGTGAAGAAGTTTGGTCTGACAAGCACATAGTAAGCTTCAAGAACTCCTTACCCCGAGAGAGAGCTGAAATTCTAAGCAGGCTCAGTAACTGCTGAGTGATTTTGTGTTTGTGTCACTGACGATAGCCATGAAGGGAACTCTAGGATGTCAGGGAAGGCTTTTCAACCCCGCAGTGACATGGACGCACAGGTCATTCAAGTTTCAAGGGACCTTAGAGGACTTCTAGACCAAGCCTCCCTTATAGCCCGAGCACCTGGGGCCCGGAGAGGGGACAAGACTTACCCGAGGTCATCTGGAGTCAGGTGCAGGATACGGACAAAACCCAGGACCCCAACCCGGAACATCGAAGTCCATGTCCCCAATGGACACAGCCCAGGCTGGGGGACTCCAGGTGGGTCTGCTTCTCAGGCTTTCCTCAAGAAGAGGCTCTGGGCGAAGCTTTGCACCTTGCTCTTCTCACCCATGAGTGACCAGGGACTTCCTTCAGGCTCTCTCACTGCTGTGTCACCAACCACATGGTGTCCCCACCCCAAAGCACACCCCACTGTCTCCTGATGTTCTTGCTTCTACAGAACAGGTTCTGGAGCCCCTGGGTGTTGAAAGAAGGGACAGGTCAAATTCCTGAATAGTTGTGATTTTAAGATATGCTTTTTCTACAGCTTAGGGGTTTGCCGCAGCCAGTATGGAAGTCCTGGCCAGCTCACCCCAGCTCACTCAGTCAGTCAACAAACACTGCCAGGGACCTGCTCAGTGCCAGCTCATGGTGGACACTGAGATGTCAAGAAGAGCAAGTTGCATGCTTCATCCCCATAACCGGTGACAGGCGGAAAAATGATATGGTGCAATGCACACTAGAATGAGGGAGGGATGGGGACCACAAAAACACACAGCTGAGCTCCGAACCCGCCCAGGTGAGTGGTCATATAGGTGAGGCTTCCTGGAGGACGAGAATTTGAGAAGAGGTCCAAAGAAGGAGCAGGAATCAGACGGGGAAGAGGGTGGGGAACGGGTGTTCCGGGCAGCAGCTACAGCTTGTACCAAGGCTCAGAGGCTAGGCAATACAAGGTGCGCTGGAGAAACTCACCAGAGGGAAAACAAGTGCATTTTTCTGGCTGTTCGAGCCAGAGAGAGTCAGCAGGTGAATCTGCTGTGTCACGGTCAATTCCGTAAGTCAATGCTGTCCAGGTGCTCTCTGTTCAGCCACGTGGAGGGTTCAGAGAAATACAAGGCGTGCTCTTTGCACTCAGAAATGTGCCTCTCTCCCTGGGAAGACAAGAACTATTGTATTTTAGAGACCAGAGAATACAGGTATCTAGGGACCATCTTCCAGCGGCCACAGCCTCCCATGGAATAGCCCCAGCAACCGAGAGCAGTCCAGCCTCAAGTCAGCCACGCCCTCATAACAAGAGCCATTCCCTTAAATCCGGAGAAGTTCGTCTTCTTAACCTGTCCCCTCGCAGCCCCCCTGGGCAGAGGTGGTCACACAAAGAGGGACGAGGCCCTCCTTCAGGCAACAGGCCCTCTGGTCTTTGGAAACAGGCCTCTTGTCTCACCGACCTGAGCCTCTCCTTCCCAGCCTGAGAACAGGGGAGCCGCTGCAGAACAAGGCTGGAAAATGCCACGCGCGTGCAGACTGGAGCTCTGGAAGGGCTTTTAGAGCGAGAGTGTGGGGGGCTGCTGTTGTCACAGCTTCTTGCAGCAGGACAAACCCTCCCTGCGGGTTCAGGGGATAGGGAGCTTTCCTCAGGGAGGGGAAATGACAGTCCAGGAGCACGGTGCAGCCCGACAAAGGCACTTCCTTTTGCACCGTTACCGTTCACACTCAGTGTCATTGTGTGCTAGTCTCGGGTGTGCAGCAGACGGGTCAGACAATCCCACACTTCACAAGGGCACTTCTTTAATATCTATTCATTTTGTGCATAAGCCTTGCTTTTTCTTAAGAAAATGTTTAGCAAATGCAGAGGAGCAAAGGAAAGAAAATAAAAAGCACCTGTAATTCTACTACCACCCAGAGATAACTCCATGAATATTTTCATATTATATCTTCCGAGACTCGTGTATATATCTTTCTCTACGTGTGCATGTATGTGTTTTAACCAGGCTCCTACTGTATACAGTTTATGCCATGCTGGTTTTTGTTTGATGAAATATGGTGAATCTTTACCAGGCCACAGAACACGTTTCTCCAGCATTATTCTGAAGGCTGTGTTCATCTTGCATTTGGTGGACATGCTATTATTCATTTAACCAAACCCCTATTGTTGGACAGACTGTTCTGGTTTTTTCTTCCTCCCTCCCTCCCTCCCTCCCTCCCTTCCTTCCTTCCTTGCTTCCTTCTTCTTTCCTGTTAGAAGAAATGACGTCTGAGTGTTCCCAAGTTCTTTAAAGATCCAGGTATCTTCTTTCCCATTAATTGCTACATAACCATAGTCCCTCAGAATGACAAGAAGTCTAGTTTTTCCATCAAGTTCCTCCCTCCAGGCTCCCTGAGAGTCCCCAGGGACAGTTTCACGATCCCCAGACCTGTCATCTCTGCAAGCCAGCCAAGGTGGCTCCAGCTACTGCTCCTCTCCTCTGGGCCCTTCTTGGCATTTTGTAACTTGTTTCTCTGATCATGATCTCCCCACACCATCTGGTGCCTGCCTGGAGTCACCAAAGGCCCCATATCCAACACGGTCCACTCAGGAGCACAGAAACCTCTCAGGTCTTTCAGACCAAGGGACTTCTTAATACAAGGGAGTTGGTTATCTAGATGATGAAAGAGCTGGTAATCCAAGCAGGAAATTGCTCCACCCTTTGAGCTAAAGGGAAAAGTGGGGATCAGGTGGGTGATGTCTCCAGGAGCTGGCCACCTAACAGAAAGACGTTGATGGCAGCCTGGCCAGAGGGACCCAGAGGTCCAGAGGACACACACCCATTGCTGGGGAGGCTACTCAAAGCAAAGAAAGAGGGGAAGTTATACCCTGACTTCCCTTCACCAGCTTTCCAGTCTTTCTCCAGTGTCTCCTAGTGGTCAGACCTATCAGGAAGCAGTTGACAAAGGAGTCTGGGAAATGTAGTTTCCTACACTTACAGGACAGTACTGGCTCAAGCCAAACCTTCACTCTCCCAAAGCACAGCTCAAATTTGACTGTTTTTATGGAAATTCCTCAGAAAACTAAAAATGGATCTGCCTTTTGACCCTGCGATTCCACTGCTGGGATTATATTCTAAGAACCCTGAAACACCAATCCAAAAGAACCTGTGCATCCCAATGTTCATAGCAGCACAATTTACAATAGCTAGATGCTGGAAGCAACCAAGATGCCCATCAGTAAATGAATGGATCAAAAAACTATGGTACATTTACACAATGGAATTCTACGCAGCAGAAAGAAAGAAGGAGCTCCTACCCTTTGCAGCAGCATGGATGGAGCTGGAAAGCATTATGCTAAGCGAAACAAGCCAGGCAGTGAAAGACAAATACCATATGATCTCACCTTTAACAGGAACCTAAACAACAAAACAAAGAAACAAGCAAAATATAACCAAAGACACTGAAATAGAAGACAGGCTGACAGTGACCACAGAGGAGAGAAGAGGGAATTTCAGGGGACATTGGGAAGGGTTCATGGGGACAAACTTAAAGGACACATGGACAAAAACTAGGGGGAGGGTGGTCATGGGAGGGAAGTGGGGAGGGGTGGGAGGGGGCTGGACTGGGAGTAAAAAGGAGAAAACTGTATTTGAACAATGATTAAAATAAATTTTTTAAAAAATTGACTGTTTTGTCAAACAAACTTTACCAGAGACTGAGGGCTGATAGAGAACAATTACAATGCAGAAAAGAAAAACTTAAGTACAGATCCCTGGATATGACAGCCTACTACATCCAAAAGGCAACCCCCCCCAAGCACAGGCTCCCTTAGGAGCCAGATGTCCCGCCATTGGCCTCAGCCTGCTGTTGCATCCGGGGGGTCAGCCGAACTCTCCCAGGGCCAGAGAGCTCTATGGCCATGTCCACCCTGACTGAGACCCAGGCCCCTTCAATGTTCCCTGAAACCCAATGAGAAGGGGAAAACATTTCTGAAATTATTTAGCAAAGTATATCCTAAACACCCATGCCAAAGAACTTCATGTTAATCCTTGTGGGTACAGTTCTTGGTAGAATGATAGCTTGGGGGAGCCACGTGACTCTTCATTGTCCCAAACTAAAGACCCATTCATGAATTTCACCCCCATTTGAGCACAAGAGTCACTGAAGTTTCAGATCCATTCTTTCCTCCCTAACCTCCAGCAGACCCCAGCTCCAAAGGTTCCGGCTGAGAGTGCGGGGGCTTCTCACCCCAGCAGCCGCTCTAGGAGGAAGGCTCCCTGCTCTGATGCAGGGCGCTGGAGGGAGCAGACCATCCTGTACCTCCTCCTGCCGGAACAAAGCCAAAGAGCTTTGGCACAAGGAACATTCTGGAACATACAGGGTGAGTCCAAAGTAGGTTTACAGTTGTGAGTACTTGAAACACAGAGTTTTTCTTGTATTATTATTTATTACTTATATCATTTTCCCTACAAACGTCTGTAAACCTACTTTTGCTCACGCTGTACTTTCTGCTCCCTGGTTCAGCTGTTTTCCGCAGGGTAAGTCCCTGAGAATGGAATTACTGGGGCAAAAGAAGTGCACGTGTCATAGGCTTTTGATGCTCGGTGTCAAACTGCTCTCCGATAAGGCTCTGTGTGCCGTGGTTCTTTCTGCCCTTTCTGCCTCTCGGATCCCCCATCAATCACCAAACAGTCTCAGGATGATTCAGCCACCAGACCAGATAAACAAGCTGGCCAGTCACTATTGCTGTTTTTTGCACCTAGCAAAGGAACTCCCTTGGATCCCACCCAGAACGTGGAATTCCGCAGCACCTACGCCAGGTACCTTTGTACCTGTTCCTCACTGCCAGGTCCCACCCTCCCCTGCTCACCCCGCCCCGAGCCCAGGTGGAGCCAGCTGCCAAGGCGGCAAAGCTTCCCAGTCCTCCCCTGGTGCTTGGTCCAGAGTGGCGGCCAAAAGAGGGCTCTGTGCCCAGCCCGATGAAGACGCTACTGACCATCCTGGCTGCGGGGTCCCTGGTCGGTGAGTGCCCATTGCCCCGTAGCCCCCACCTACCCCAGCACAGCGATCAGGGTCATCTCCCTGTACCCTGCCACGCCCGGGACAGCCAGTTTCAGTTTCTTCTGTGCTGGGGCTGAGCTGCATGCTGGGGCTGGGGGACAGACCCTCGCCTCCCTCCACATCCCATGGGGGCCTCTCCTGGCCCTTCTTGCTAGCTCTGAAAGAGCATTTTTCCCCACCGTGGCCAGGTGTGGGGCAGTCACAGGCTCTAAAGCACCTGGGGTACAGAGTGCACGAGCCCTTTTCAAAACAGATGGGAAGGGCATAGTTTTCAGATCCAGTTAGGTGGATGCCTTGGTTCATCATTATGGAGAACCTGCAGGCAGATGTGTGAAATTCTAGATTGTGTCTGCTCTCTGAGAAGTTTAATAATACTCAGGGAACTTTTCTCAGGGGGAGATGACCTGTACAGGCCCTATAGTTCAAGTTCAGGATGAGCCCATGAAGGGTCAGAGCTTCCCAGACCCCTCACTGCTGTGCCTGGCCAGTGCTGACTGGACCACGGTGTTTCCGGCTGCTGTCGGGGGCCCCTCCAGTCTCCCCTCCCCTTGGCATCACACTGGCCTGACACGCTGGGTCTTTGATGAGCTAGGAAGATATGTATCCCCAAGAGACTTGCTCCTTTAGACCCCCACCCCTCCCGATGGGAGTCATGGAGGCTCCTGGACCTTTAAGAAGGGGAACCCAGGGGCAACAATCCCTAGGAGATTGTCAAGTTGGTAAGGTCACTCTGGGGACCTAGGTTTCCTCACCCCACTTTTCCTAGGCTGATTCCAGAGCATGATGAATTGTTTTTGCTTGTTTGTTTTTCCTCAGCTTCCCATCTGGTTGATATAGAATTGTTTTTCCACGAAAGTGTGATAACTTTCTTGATAAGAAAGACTTCTACCAGCCCGTTGGTCCCGACAACACACGTTTCCCGGGATTTCACAATGTAGACTTTTACCCGGGAAGCGTAGGAGAGGCACAGGCTCAGGAACGGATGATGGACTTGAGGATGAAAAGAAGCAAGTGGGGCGGGAGGAGAGGGGAGAACTACTTAGGCCTTGACACCTCCTAAAGGAGGGGACCCAACTGTGGTCCACCCACCCCATTTCAGAGAACCAACTTCAGTTCCCTTCTGAGCAGGGGTGCCCAACTCCACTTGGATAAGCCAACTGCCTCCTGAGCATGTCCCAGCCTCAGCCACCAGCCTCCCCTCAACCCACCTGGCTCACCTGGGTACTGACCCCAACAAGCAATCCTCCACTGCAGACCCTACCCCTCCACTGGGGGGGTGTCCAGCCCCACACAGACCCTGGCCTTCTCTCAAATCCCAACCTCTCTCTCTCCTGCGCCTTCCTTGCCAGCCCACCAGCAGCTACCATTCAGTTCTGACCTCAAGTGAGGCCTTTGCCTTCCTAAGAAATGGGTGGGCAGGGATTGGGTGGGCAGGGATTGGCTTGGCCAGCAGAGAGGTGGTGATTTATAAACATCTTCTTCAGCCTTGATTGAAATTACTGATTTTGGGCAAGTTACTTCTTTTGTGTGTGTGTGTGTGTGTGTGTGTAATGTTGAGTATTTTTCTTTCTTTTTTAAAAATATATGTTATTGATTATGCTATTACAATTGTCCCATTTTCCCCCTTCACTCCCCTCCACCCTGCCCACCCCCTCCCACCCACATTCCCCCCTTTAGTTCATGTCCATGTATCATAAGTTCTTTAGCTGCTATATTTCCTGTACTATTCTTGCCCTCCCCCTGTCTATTTTCTACCTACCATCTATGCTACTTATTCTCCATACCTTTTCTCCCTCTCTCCTCCTCCCATTCCCCTGTTGCTAACCCTCCATGTGATCTCTATTTCTATGGATCTGTTCCTGTTCTATTTGTTTGCTTAGTTTGCTTTTGTTTTAGGTGTGGTTGTTAATTACTATGAGTTTGATGTCTTTTTACTGTTCATATTTTTTATCTTCTTTTTCTTAGATAAGTCCCTTTAACATTTCATATAGTAAGAGCTTGGTGATGATGAACTTCTTTAACTTGGCCTTATCTGAGAAGAACTTTATCTGCTCTTCCATTCTAAATGGAAGCTTTTCTGGATAGAGCAATCTTGGATGTAGGTTCTTGCCTTTCATGACTTGGAATACTTCTTTCTAGCCCCTTCTTGCCTGCAAGGTCTCTTTTGAGAAATCAGCTGACATTCTGATGGGAACTCCTTTGTAGGTGACTGTGACCTTATCTCTTGCAGCCTCTAGAATTCTCTCATTCATTTGAATCTTGAGCAATGTAATTATGATGTGCCTTGGTGTGTTCCTCCTTGGGTCCAACTTCTTTGGGACTCTCTGAGCTTCCTGGACTTCCTGGAAGTCTATTTCCTTTGCCAGATTGGGGAAGTTCTCCTTTATTATTTGTTCAAATAACTTTTCCACTTGCTCTTCCTCTTCTCCTGCTGGTACCACTATACTTCAGATGTTGGAATGTTTAAAGATATCCTGGAGGTTCCTAACCCTCTCCTCATTTTTTCTGAGTTCTTGTTTCTTCATCCTTTTCTGGTTGTATGTTTTTTTCTTCCTTCTGGCCCACTCCATTGATTTGAAACCCAATTTTCTTTCCATCACTATTGGTTCCCTATGCATTTTTCTTCATTTCACTTATTGTAGCCTTCATTTGTTCATCTAATTTGCAACCAAAATCAACCAATTCTCTGAGCATCCTGATTACCAGTGCTTTGAACTGTACATCTAATAGGTTGGCTATCTCTTGGTCGCTTAAAAGTATTGGCTGTGGGGCTTTGATTTGTTCTATTTGAGCCATTTTTTTTTGGCAAGTTACTTCTTAGACATCTTAGCTGACTATCTCTAAAATACGGGTGAGGACCACCAGCTTCAGAGGGTGTTAAGAAGTGAACGAGAGGCAATAACAAGTGCTGGCAAGGGTGTGGAATAACTGGACCACTCAAACGTTGCTGGTGAAAATGTAAGATGGTGCAGCCACTTTGGAAAATAGTTCAGCTGTTCTTTAAAATCTTAAATATAAAGTTACCACATGACCCAGCTCTTCCACTTCCAGCTGTACATTCAGCCGAGAACTGAAAACATGTCCACTCAATAGTCCGCACACAAATGTTCACAGCAGCATTATTCACAACAACCAAAAAGAGAGGACAACACAAATGTCCATCCACTGACAAATGGATAAACAAAATGTGGTATATCCATACAATGGCATATTATTCGGCCATACAAAGGAGGTCCATGCTACAATATGAATGAACTTTGAAGACATGACGCTAAGTGAAAGAAGCCAGACACAAAACCCATGTATTGAATAACTCTATTTATATGAAAAGCCCAAATAAGCAAATCCATAGAGACAGAAAGCAGATGAGTGGCAGCCTAAGGCTGGGGCAGGGGAGGAACGGAGTAGACAGCTAATGGATGTGGGGGTTCTTTTAGGGTCGATGAAAATGGTCTGGCACTAGAGAGTGGTAATGGTGGTATGACTTTACAAACACACTAAAACACCACTGAACTGCACACTCTAAATGGTGACTTTCATGGAATGTGAATCAGAGCTCAAAGAAAAGGAAACTAAGAAGTGGAGGGGAGCAGTGGTGGTCAGCGAGCACAGTCCATGCTGAGTGGGTGGGTGCTGTTCCCCACTCCCCCTCCTTGGGCCGTTAGTGCCGGGGGGGCTGGGTGCACGAGCCCTCGGCTCACCCTGCTCCCGCTTCCCGCAGCTCACATTGCTGAGGACACCTCGGATCTCCTTCAGCACGTGAAGTTCCAGTCCAGCAACTTCGAGAATATCCTGACTTGGGACAGCGGGCCGAGGAGCACCCCAGACACAGTCTACAGTGTGGAGTATAAGACGTAGGCTTCCCTCCCAGAGTGGCCTCCTCTGACTCTGCTCTGACTCCGTCCCTTCCGAGAAAATGCTGCCCTTCCATGTACCCTGTACCCCCCACCCTGACTGGTGTTATACCCCCTGATATAGCCCTGCTCCTTTGTTTCCTTTGCAGAGGGAGGATGAAATAATGGGCAAAAGTACAGGCTCTGGCTTGAAAGCCAGCTCCCACCTACATGACCTTGGGCAATTGGGGAACCACACCAAGCCTCAGTTTCCCCATCAATAAAGTAAGGATAGCAATAGTTCCTTCATCATAAGGTTGTTAGGTAGGTTAAATAAGATAGTCTTTGGCACTGGTGCCTGGAAAATCATTGTTTTACTAGTAACGGTGAGATAAAGTCACACATAGTTGTGCCTACCCCATCCAGCCTACGCCCCAGTTCCCGTGAAGGGAAGGACGGTTGGCAAGGGCTCAGGAGTCTGCGGGCCTGGGTGTCATTCCTGATCCTCTGCTCCATCCTGTGCCAAGTCACTTCCTCTTTCTGGGCCTCGCTCCCTCATCTGTAAAGTGGGGATAATAGTGTCTGCCTCAGAGGGTGATGGTGGCAGTGAGCCCAGAACGTGCCCTCAGCCTGGCTGGGTTCAAATTCTGCCTCCCCGCAGGCAGGCTTTAAACACCTGGGCAGGTTTCACCTCCCAGCCTCAGCTTCCTTACTTAAAAGGAGAGAGAGTAATGTGTGAAGCTCACGGGGTCAGTGTGTGGAATAACAAACCATCCCCATAAAAGGCCTGGAACACAAAGCATGCTAAGTAAATATTAGATATCACTACCGTTATTAATAAACCACAGGTCTGATGCCAAGCCTGTTCATGAGAGGTGTGCTCGGCCCCTCCCTTGTGTACAGGTACGGGCAGATAGCGTGGCTGGCGAAGAAGGGCTGCCAGCGAATCACCAGGAAGTCTTGCAACCTGACCATGGAGACAGGCAGCCTCATGGAGCTCTACTACGCCAGGGTAACTGCCACCAGCGCCGGAGGCCAGTCAGCCACCAAGATGACCGACCGGTTCAGCTCACTGCAACACAGTGAGTAGGAGCCCCTATTATCACAGGGGAGGGGAGGAGAACGGCCTAGAAGCACTCTGCCTTTCAGCGGGGAGGGGGCTGTTAGGGATGTGGCATTTAGGAAAGGCATCCCGAGGGAGAACATCCTCAGTGTGGTTGCTCATCTTCCTCCATCCCCATCCTGAGCTCCCTAGTTCAGACTGCCTTCATCTTCCCTGAGGCCAGGGAGCCTGGTCCCCACCCCACCCCCACTCCTCCTCCTCGGACTCTTGTCCAATCCTCCATCTGGTCTCAGCTTCAATATCACATCCTAAGTGATACGGAGGTTGGAGCCACTCCCGGCCCCCCACCTGATTTTACCAGATCACCAGCTGGTATTCTTCGTGACAATTAGGTGGTCATCGTCTTCACAGCTCATATCTGCAGTTCTTGTGTTTGCTTATATATATCATCAGCCTCCCTGCTGACGGGCGAGCTCGTGTGTGGGTGCGGAATCCATGCATTCCCAGCCCTTGGCACGGTGCCTGGCACACGGGAGATGCTCAGTACATAATCGATAAAGGAGAGAAGGAAGGAAGCGGGGGAGGAAGGGAGGCAGGGAGGAAGGAAGGGGGGAGGCAGGGAGGAAGGAAGGGGGGAGGAAGGGAGGAAGGGAGGAAGAAATACGCATTGCCAAACTCCCCACATCAGTTAAGCAGGTGATGGTGTTCATTAATTCATTCAACAGCCACATTTTTTTAAAGAAAATAAAAAATTAAAGTAAATAAGCTATTTTGTTTTTTCTTGTTTTGTTCAATGAATACACGTTTATCGTAAACATTGTGAAAAAATATAGAAGTACACAAAGAAAAATAAAAGTAGCCCAAATGGTCTGAGCATTGAAACACAGCTGCAGTCACTAGCAACTCCATCTGTTCTTTCATTCTCTGGCTGTTCGTTTTCTATGTGACGGCGTCATGGCCGTGCATTTGCTCCTTCCCATGAACTGTTTTTCACAACACGGTATTTCACTGCTAAAAATGGCCCCTTCTATAGAGGGACTCTAATTTACTTCCCTAATGCACTTTGGGAGACGTTTAACTCAGTTTTTCAATTTTATAAACAACACTGAAGGGAACATTCTTTTAGCTCAGAATTTTTTAAACAATTCATTTGTTTATTTATTTCTTTTTAGAGAGGGGGAAGGTGGGGAAAGAGAGAAGGAGAGAAACATCAGTGTAAGACAGAAACATCGATCGATCAATCGCCTCTTGTACGCACCCTGACCAGGGACCGAACCCGCAACCCAGGCATGTATGTGCCCTGACTGGGAATAGAACCAGCGGAATGAAGCCCAGCCACTGAGCCACGCTGGTCAGGGCTTGGCTCAGATATTTTTAATCTTGGAGGTCAATGGACCCTTGAGGGTTTTTACGAATTAGCTTCAGGGAGTTTGGGGTTCATGAATCCCTGAAATTGAGGGTAAGATTTTTGTATATGTAAATCTTGGAGGAGAGAAGAGCCATAGATAGCATTCATCCAATTCCCAAAGGGGTCCGTAAACTAGTAAAGCTCGTGTGGTTATTTAGAAAGTTCTGCCTGGAGAAAGAGTAAATTCTTAGGCTTGGAACTGAGGCTGATTCAATGGTATGGGACAGCGCAAACATTATCTAGGGTATCTCACTGAACCATCGTCACTTCCCGAAGCTGTCGTCGTTGCCAGGGGGCTGGGGGAGAGTGTGAGCTCCAGGCAGGTTCCAGGTGGGGTGACGGGCCCAGGGTGTATGGGGGCTGGGCCAGGGGGCACGATCAACCCCCTGGGAAGCCAGTATACCCCCTGAGACCCTCCTACTCACTCCTGGTCGCCCCTTTGCTGGCCTTCATACAAACCCCAGTGGCCTGCAGACCATCTCTCTTCTCGCCTATGTGTCCAGCTGGCGCTTTCAGAAGCAGGGCTGGGGCGGGGAGGGAGGAGCAGGGAAGCCATCATTTCCCACGGTCCAGCGCAGCCTCATGTACTTCTAGCTGAGTCCTACTTTTCTTTTCTCTCTCTCCTTTTTTCCAGCTACCATCAAACCACCCGATGTGACCTGTATCCCCAAGGTGAGATCCATTCGGATGATTGTTCACCCCACCTGCACTCCCCTCCGCTCAGAGGACGGCCACCGGCTAACCCTGGAGGACATCTTCCAGGACCTGTTCTATCGCTTAGACCTCCGGGTCAACCAGACGTACCAAATGGTAAATAAATGGCAAATATACGCGCTGCCCTGGTCCTTCCCTGCCTGGGAAACCCATTTCTCTCTCAATTAGGTCTACATGGCCTCAAATAGAAAGGAGATGTTTTATACACGTGAGCGTTTCCCAGAACACGTCCACAGCCTCTCCCTAAGGGGCTCGCTCACACAGCAGTGTGCTCCCGTCTCTGACAAGTCCCACAAAGCCGAACCGCCTCAGGTTGTTTAATGCAACTTCTCCCAGGTTTATTTGACCTTTTCTTTTGCACAATATTTATTGTTTTTCTTAATTTTTTTGCCTAATGCCTTCTAACATCCCGGGGAACAACCTCTGTTAACATTCTCAGGCGTCCACTTCAGAAAATGCTGGAATCAGTTGCCGCCGCTGCAGTCCTTTTTGCCGGTTCTCCACTGTCTGTGGGGACCGGACACAGGCGGTGTCTGAGATCAGCAGTAATGAAAGATGGGAGGCAGGGGCCTGCATTGTCAAACTATGCACACGTTACTTTTTTCTACTCAGAAAACATGTGGCATTTCCCCCCAGCGTGTGCCACTAATCCATAATTCCATTGACTGTTTCTGCACTCAGAGGGTCTATAATCTGGTGGGAAGGAATGGGATTGAAACAAGAAGTCGAACAGGTACAGGTAGAGGAAAATAAGGGTATTGTGTGAGGCAGACAGAGCAGAAGCGAGCAGGTGAGAGGGGAGACGGCAGTTCAGGGAAGTCTGGCAAGATTTCTGGATCAGAAAACTTTCCGGTGCCAATACCAGTTTCTGAGGTGTGCCAGGTAAGGTGTGCTTATTAAGTCACTTAATCTTCACCCAATCGCTATGTGGTAGGTGCTTTTATCTCCTGCATTTTCTGAATGAGAAAACAGAGGCTCAGACAGGTTAAATCCCTAGCTCAAGATTGTTCAGCAAATAGTAGCACAATCAAGATTCAAACCCAGCTCCGTTCAAAGCCCATGTTTGCTCCCACTAGCCTGCATTGCCCCCACCATGATCATGGGAGAAGCAGAAGAACTCTGGACACTAATGGAAAGCACAGAAATGCCCGGTCTGCCTGGAGCAAGGGGACATGGAGAATAGCTCCTCAGAACATGGTCCCAAAACAAGGGCATCAAAATCTACTGCAGCATTTGTCTAAAATGCTCCTTCCTCCAATCTCCTTAATCAAATTCTATAGTTACACCCCTGGGATCTGAAGTTTAGTGAGCATCCCCCGTGCTTTCTGCCCACCCTGAAGTTGGAGCACCGCTGACGCGGAGGAACCGTGGGAGATACACCCAAGGAGACAGTCTGGGGCGGTGCCGCAGACGGCTGGGGCAGCGGAGGGAGGAATCTCATTTATTTCAGTCGTCGTGGGGAGCAATTTGAGATTATTGTGTAGGGAGGGTCCTTATCACGACCGGGTTTTGGTAACTCGCTGGGGTTATCATAATGTAATTCATTTTGTGGTCAGAAAAATACTCTGTGTAATTTCAGTCCTTATAAATGTATCGAGACTTGCTTTATGGCTCAGCAGTGGCCTACCTTGGTGGATGTTGCGTGTGCACTTGAAAAGAACATGTGCTCGCGGTCGTGTGGTGGAGCACGCTGCATGTGTCAGTCAGAGCGAGGCGGCTGGGAGTGTTGTTCAGATCTTCTACACCTCTCCTGGTTTGGGAGGGGTCGGTTGTTTTTTTAATTGCTGAAGCATTGCATTCTCCAACTGTGCCTGTGGAATTGTCTATTTTTCCATTTCATTCTATGCGTATTTGAAACTGTTATCAAGCACATACACATTCATGATTGCCAGAGCCAGACCCTGATAAATTGGTGGTGGAGGTGGTGGTTATGGTAGTAGTAATGGTTGTGATGACAGGGGTTGTGATGATGGTAGTGGTGGTGGTGGTGATGGTGATGGTAATGGTGATGGTAGGGGTTGGAGGTGGTTGTGGTCATGGTAATAGTGATGGTGATGGTGATTGTGGCAGTTGTGATAACAGCAGCTAGTATTTACTGAGTGCTTACTACGTACCAGCCACTGTTCTAAGCGCGAGTGCATGGAGCTTGGTGACCCACTGGGTCTGCAGACAAAGCAGAAGGCAGGGCAAGGGAGTGGAGCACGGCAGGCGGATCCACCAGTTTCTGGTTCGGGAGCTGGTAGTACCCTTTCCCTAAATGCAGTACCCCAGGCAGAGGTGCACGGAGACTTGCTTGGGCTCCTCATGGAGACTGGGGTGTAAGAGGAGTCCCTCTGGGTTCTCTGTCCAATTCAGCACCTTGAAGGAAACCAGAGAGAATACGAGTTCCTTGGCCTGACCCCTGACTCGGAGTTCCTCGGGACCATCACGATCTCTGTTCCAACCTGGTCCAAAGAGAGTGCCCCCTACATGTGCCGTGTGAAGACACTGCCAGGTGAGTTTGGCAGAAGCCAGAGGAGGTGGGACTCCTGGCTTCAGGTCTTGACTACGTGCTTTCCCCCCTGTAACCAAGGTGAGGCTGGGCAGTGCTCTGAAAACTACAGAAGGGTTATCAGCATGTTATTAAAGTTAATCTTTGTTTATCTATAAGTGCGTTAGCTGACGGGTTATCACAGCACATGTTTAATCTTCACCCTCCAGCCTGGGTCCGGATTTCCTCTCTGTGGCAAGCTTAGTGTGTACCCCAGCAAAGCAACCGCACCTTAATATTAACTCAGGTGAGATACGCTCGGAGGTGATCTGCAGGGGGGAGAACAAAGAGAGAAAGGTCACTCGAAGTCAGATCATAACGGCAGCGATGGCAACTAGTGTTTCCGCAGTGCTAACCAGGGGCCAGGGACACTAGGCGCAATCCTCGGGAGCAACCCACGAGGTGGGTGCTATTCTCACCCTCATTCTGCAGATGAGGAAACGGGTTTGGAGCAGCTAGGTGACTTGCCCGAGGTCACACAGGTGGCGAGGGATAGAACTGGGCCTAATCCTGGAGACGGCGTCCTCGCCACTGTGCTCCTGTAGCCGCGGTTGTGAGTCACTGGCTCGGGGAGATGGCGCCCCACGCACCCTTCCTCTGACACATTGGAAACGCCCCTCTCGCCATGAGCGTCGTGACGTTTTCCTCAGTGTTCATTTTCACGGACACGTAGAGATGTTGCGATGCTCAGGGCAGCAAGTCCGGAGGGTGAAAGTGACAGCAGGGGTTGGGCGGGTTTGGAAAACCAGTCTCCGCTTCCGTCGTCTTGTTCAGATGAGTGGTGCCGGCGGGTGAGTTCTGTTCTGACAAGCAGAGCTAAGGGGGCTGCGAGGGTGGGCCCGAGGGTACAACCGCAGCTTGGGAGGTCGTCACCAGGGAGGTTCTAGTCCTCGGTTTTGTTTGAAAACTCAACCCATCAGTTGTCCCAGGGGCCCACAAGAGACTTATTCTCCACCACAGTGGACTCATTTTCTGGGGAAGATATGGCCGGTGGCATAGCCAGCACTGGCCGCTTGCATGGGGCATGCCTTTCCTGGGGACAGGGCCACTGAGGAGACCAGAATAGAACTTGGAAGAGGAAAACTTGAGGGAGAAGGGGGACCGATGTTACAGGCACTAAGGTGGGGCATGTAGATGACCTGTGACCTCTCCCCTGGACCAGACTAGACAACCCTCCCCCATTCCCGGCCCACCCCGGCCCACTCTGCCTTTGACAACATGCAAATGACTCCACCCTTATTCTCCTGTTGGCCTGCTCCTTCAGGACCTAGATGGTGCTGCAATGCCATTTTTTTCCTAAGACTGGAGCAGCTTTTATATGAATCATACCTCTTGCTGGCTATTTCCTGCTGGCATATAGAAAGCACCTTATCCTCAAAAATAAAGTATATTAATAAAAATTCCCACCATTTATTAAGTTCCTACTCTATTGCCAAGCACTGTGTTAAATGTTTTACCTCTATCATCCCATTGCATCTTTATAATAATCCTGAAAGATGGGTAGCCTCATCCCCGTGTCACAAAGGAGGAACTCTGGCTCAGAGAGGTTAAGCAACTTGAAGGTGACCCCACAGCTGGTCAGCGAACCTAGTTAGGTTCATCAGATCCGGAGCCTGAGCTCTAGCCACCACTTTGCAATTTTGTTTATAGCTAATTGCCTCTACTGGACCTATATTCCTCTCACTGCCCCTTATGTCTTGCCCTTGACCCCCTACCCTGGGGTCTGTCTTATCCCCAGAGCCCATAATCTGCACTTTATCTACCTTTCAGAATATCTGGGAGGGTCACAGAGCAGCAGCCCAGTATCCTGATGCTGGAAAGGACTCTAGCGGCCGTCTCACCCCAATCTAATTTTTACAGATGATCACACTGAGGCCTCCTTGTGTAGTGGCTACGAGGATGAGCTTTGGAGCTATACGTATCAGTCCTGGCTTTCCCACGGAATAGCTGCGTGACCTTGGTCAAATCACTTAACCTCTCTGAGACTCAGCTTCATTACCTGTAAAAAGGGAGCATCCCTGGCTCTCTGTGTTTGGTGGGGTAACACAGGCAGAGCAACCGCACAGTGCATGGCACATTTTAAGAATTCAATAATCATTGGCTACTGTTATTAATAAATGGTAGACCAGAGAGGGTCGTGCAGCAGAGAGAAGGGTGCTCAGCGTATCGGTGGTTGAGCCAGACACCTAATCCCCCACACTCTGGTGTTATTTCTATTATTTCTTCCTGCCTGGCCATGGGTGAAATGGCATACAGGAATGTTCCATGTCCCTGTCCTATCCCGGTACAAGGAGCAGTGGTTTTCCATTAGGCATGTCACGTAGAGACATTCAGGTCATGTCTTCTCCCTGGAGCAGTGCTGGGGGTATCGTGTGACAGGGGACAGGGTATCGCTGAAGCGGGAAGCTGACCCAGACAGGCTCACACCACAGGGGTTGGGGAGGAGGGAGGAGTGGGCTGGAGGTAGGGGCTCCGATTCCCCGTGTTCACAGCAACCGCCAAGGTCATCAGCAGCTGGAGATCAGCTCCTCAAGCTGAAGCCACGTGGGAACAGGAGGGTGAACTAGAGAGCCAAGACCCCTGGATAATACAAATTGTCAGTTTTAACAACAACAACAACAAGAAAAAACCCTCCAGTTACTTCTCCCTTACCAAGCCCTTCACCAGTCCCACTTGGGTTCGTGACAAGAAGTGTGCCATGCCAAGAACCGGCCGTGCCCATCCCAGAGCCGGGGGGCCGCAGGGAGAAGGCCTGGCACTAAAGCCCTCCGTTGTCTGTCTCCCTCCCCGTTAGAAAGGGTGTGCCCCCCAGCCACCTCCTGAGCAAGGTCTCCCCTGACACTCAGCCCTCCACCGAGGGAGGGTGTGGGGAGGACAGGGTCCTCCCACTGTCACTGCCCTTCCTTTGCCAGGGAGGCAGGGCCGTGCTCAGAGCCACGTAAGAGAGACCACTTCGGAAGGCCCCCCACTCCAGCCCTGGCTCTGGCCGTGGCCCTCCCCACAGGATGAAGAGTCCTTAGGCCCAAGAGGACAAGTTCCCCGGGAGCCGAGACCTCCCTTCGAGACCCCACTCTGAGAGCCGTGGACCCCTAAGTTCCCAGGAGAAACGCCCCGAGCCCGTGTCCCCTCCAGGCGGATCTCCTCCTTGCGCCCTTCCCCCTGACGGCAGATCTCTTTGCTCCCGCAGACCTGACGTGGACCTACTCCTTCTCCGGGGCCTTCCTGTTCTCCCTGGGCTTTGTGGCCGCCGGGCTCTGCCTCCTGAGCTACAGATACATCACCAAGCCGCCTCAGCCCCCCAAGTCCCTGGTGAGCAGCCCCACCTGGGGCAGGAGGAACAGGTCTGGGGAGGGCCCCAAAGCAGCAGAGGACAGAGGCCCAGGAACCCCTGGCTCTCCCTGAAATGCAGGGGTCAGCACACAGAGCAGAACATTAGCCCTCGTTTCTCCCCTCCAACCTAAAAACGTGGCTTGCCAGGGAGCACGGAAGAGGGGCCGGGGATCAGGAACAACGGGCTTGGAATAGAAAACCCACGCAGCGTGAAAGCATCCAGGTCCAGGCAGGTCACGTAGGACCCGAGGGAGCAGGTCGCTGCAGGGGGTGGTGGGCACCGCGGGGTCCCCGAGCTCATGCCCTGTCCAGAGGGCAGCCAAGTACTGCCCCCTGGGAAAGCAGGCCCAGGGTGGCCAGATCTTCAAGTACACTTCCCAGAGAAGTCAGAATTTCAGATTATAATGTGAAAGCTCTCAACTGGCAAATGTTGACAGCTAATTCTTAAACCGTAAAGCCCTGTGTGTGTAAACCACACAAGTCACGTGGCAGCCCCAGTGTGGCCACCAGTAGTGGCCGCAGCCACGCTGCCGGGGCTCCGAGTGGCTGTCACAGGCCTGAGAGGCTCGAGGGCAGGTCGCTCGATGTCACAGCCCAGACGGCCATTTCCGGTGAAGCTCTCCTGGTCTCCCCTCCTCCCCATCCCTTCCCGCCTTGCCCCCCACATCAGTTCCTTGGGACCCGTGAGCAAGGAGCAGCGTGGGCCACCACCTCCAGAGCACACCGCAAGGCCACCCGAAATCTAAGTCATCTACTGCCCGGGTTATCTGTTCCCTGGAGAAACCGCAGCCGGACTCCCTCTGCCTGAGATAACCCAGGCCTCGGGAGTGGCCCTCAGCTGCAGGGCTGGCAGCCCTGTCCCTTCACGAAAGCCCCAGCCCCTAGAGGAGTCTCTGGGAGGCGAAGGGGACGAGTGGGACACCCATCTTGAAAAGCCCCCGATGGCCGACCCCATCGCCATGGGCTCCCCGTGGAGGACCTCACCCCCCAGGGCACCCCCAGGGGCAGGGAGTGGGCCCTGAAGGTGCACTGTCGTTGTCCCCGTGCAGGACGTCCAGCATGTGCTGACCTTCCAGCCGCTGCAGTTCATCCAGGAGCACGTCCTGAGCCCCGTCTGCGACCTCAGAGGCCCCAGCAGCCTGGCCCAGCCTGTCCAGTACTCCAGAGTCATGGTCTCTGGACCCAGGGAGCACCCAGGAGCCCCGCCGCCACTGCCCAACCCGTCTGAGATCGCCTACCTCAGGCAGCCGGACAGCTCCGCCCTGCAGCCCTCCAGGGCGCCGCCTCGCCAGGCACCCTCCCCGCTGTCCTACGCTCCGCAGGCCGCCCCCGAGGTCAGACCCCCGTCCTACACACCTCAGGCCGCCCCGGACAGCTGGCCTCCCTCCTACGGGCTGTGCGTGGAAGACTCTGGCAAAGACTCCCCACCTGTGACACACTCCAGTCCCAAACACCTCAGGCCTAAGGGTCAGCTCCAGAAAGAGCCACCAGCTAGAAGCTGCACCACGGGTGACCTTTCTCTGCGGGGGGTGGCCTCCTTGGCTGCGGAGGAGCCCAAAGAAGCAACATCTCTCCAGCCGTCCCTGTGTGCTGACACAGACGGCGCACCTGACATTGACGCGTTGCACAAGGCACAGCCAGGGACGCCGGGCTACCTGAAGAGCCGGCTGCCCCTCCTCTCCTCTGTCCAGATAGAGGGCCACCCGGCGCCCCTCCCTTTGCACACTCCATCCCTCCCGTGTTCTCCCACGGACCAGGTGTCTAGTCCCTGGGGCCTGCTGGAGTCCCTCGTGTGTTCCAACGACGAGGACCCGGTGCCCGGGACTGAGGCCAAGAGCGTAGCCCCTCGGGCCTCGGGCCCAGAGCAGCCCGCAGAGCTGGACTCTCTTTTCAGAGGCCTGGCCCTGACTGTGCAGTGGGATCCCTGAGCGGCCAGCGGGCAGGTCTGGGCCTTCCTGCTTATCCCCCACTGGGGCTGCGCACACAGCCCAGCCTCGGGGGTGACCTGGAGAGAACTGGAGGACGGGGACACTGGGTCCCTGCCGTGGTTGGAGCAAAGAGGTGCAACGAGGACTCCATACAGGGAGTTACGGGTGGTGTCGTGTGTAAATGTGTGTGCACGCAGCGTATGCACGCAGAGCTCTGCAAGGCAGGACGGGACAGTCGGAGCTCGGGAGTGAATGCAGAGAGACCTCCCGAGATCCAGCACCCAGCTCCTAATAGCACTGGTCACGAAATCCTCCTGGAGCTCACCCCTCCTCCCCCGACTCCTGGCCAGGTTGATAATCTGATCCGACAAAGAGGGAGGCCTCTGCCACTTCTGTGACTGTGCGTGAGAAAAGGAGCCTGAACTGGATGCCTCCTAGCAGGCTGGGCAGAACCAGAATGACCTGCACTTCTGCCAAGGCCAGAGGCAGCGCCATTGCAAGACTCCAGGGAGGGGTGCAGCCTGGGGCTCATTCCCAGCCGGGGCTGCTGCCTGAAGTTGCACCATTTCTACTTCATTCCTCTGCTAGAGGCTGTATGTGTCCCAGGTGAAACGCAGGTCCGCCAGTGAGGGTGAGCACGTAAGCCTTTTCTGTTGCAGCAGTTTCAGACCCGGATCTGAGAGCAGGGTTTGAAAGGAACTCAGGGATGTGGGGCCCCCACACCCCCGGAGACATAACCAACAAACTGTGCTGACTCTTCACAACTTTGGAAACTCAGCCTTAGGTTCAGCGCATCTGGACCCAAATTCCAGCCTCACCATTTACCAGCTACATGACTTCAAGCAGATGAATGAATCACTGCTCAGAACCTCAGTCTCCTCATTTGTAAATGGGGAGAATAACGCCTACCTCACTGGGCAGTGGTGAGGATGGAATTAAATAACATCTGTAAAGTGCTTACTAGTGCTCGACCTATGGGCCGTGCCCAATAAATGCGAGCTATTTCCTGTTGTGATGTTTGGGTTTTTAATTAGACAGCGCAGAGAGTGACACCTCGCCCCAGTTCAGGTTGGCTACAGACAAGGCATTTTCTCACTCCTTCCTGGTTCCTCGGGATTGCTCCAGCCAAGCCAGAGGAGCGAGGTTGTCTGGTGGAGGAAGCAAGTGATGGGATCACAGGGCCTTCTGGAAACAGGGATGAGAGGCAAGTGGAACGTTTTTCCCAAGGTTGTAAGTGAGAGCTGTTTGGGGGTGCTGGCATTCTCAGAGGACCCCCTTTGCGTGGAGCCCCCAGGCCTGCCTCCACTCCCTCCTGCCCGTGTCTGCTCCCACATAGGCAAAGGGCCCTTGCTCTGTGCTTTGAGAGGCGCCTGCACAATCTTTGTATCATTTGCATCTCGGAGGATCCCTATGATGAAAAACCTGAGGCCCAGCCCTGGCTGGTGTGGCTCAGTGGGTTGAGCGCTGGCCTACAACCGAAGGGTCGCTGGTTCGATTCCCAGTCAGGGCACATGCCTGGGTTCTGGGCTGGGTACCCAGTTGGCATGCAAGATGCAACCGATCCTTCACATCGCTGTTCTTCTCTTTCTCCCTCCCTCCCCCTCTCTCTAGAAATAAATAAATAAATAAAATCTACAAAAAGGAAAAAGAAACCTGAGGCCCAGAGGGGAGAAGGGACCCACCCCACGGCCCCTCACTGAGCTCGTGACACAGTCGGAGCTCAGGTCTCGTGCTTGTTTTCCTCCTCAGGAGAAAGGACCTTCCACACCGGTGTGGATTCTTTAAAAGATGGCCCTTAGGAGGGGAGGGCCCCAGCGGGGTCCCTAAGGACAAGCGCCCCCATCCCCTTCCTGTCCCAAAGCCCTACCCGAGCACTGCTGAGACACAGGACCGGAGCCCAGCTGCCCCGTGTGACCTTCTGGAGGTGTGTGCGGTGCCCCCCTTCCTCTGCACCCAGACGGGCACGCCTCCCTTCCCCGTCCCCCGCTCCCCGAGACACAGCGTTTGCCATTAATATTTAACATTTCAGGGTCGCTGGTTGAGACCCAATATCTCCCTAAGAAAGAGCGGGCGGCTGCCCCCCACCCCAAGCCCGTTCTCCTCCTCTCATCACCCGCTGAATTGAGGTTAATGACGCCCCCCCCTCCCCCCACACTGCAAACTAGTCTGCTTCCTGTCACTCGGGGTGAACTTGGTCAAAGGTAAGTGGGACATGGCAACACAGAGGGGCTTTTTTAATTAAAAGCTACAAACATTTCTTCCAATTCACAGGGCCGCAAAGCTCTCTAAGCTCCTCGGGGTGACAGATGTCCCAACTACTCCGTGACCGATAAGGGTGGAGCTTGAAGAGCCTGCGGAGAGAGGGGCACGGCTCTGAGCCCTGTGACCTTCTTCAGGCCGGACCGTCCCAGCTGAGGGGCAGACGGCAGGCTGCCGGACCCTGGAAGGTCTGGGTCTCCTAGGCAGGCAGCCCAGCCCTGCAGTTATAGTCGGAACTGGCTAGAGGGCACTGTCCCAGGTCCCCGGAGCTGGGCGGGGGGCCTTGGCGTTCCTGCGTGACCCGAGCCCTCACCCCATTTCCAGGAATCTCCAAGCTGCCACCTGCCTCCCAGGCCTGGCAGAGCCAAGCCCGGGAGGAAAGGAACAGAGTCGGGGAGGAGGGGGAGGGACTCGGCCATGTGGCCCCACGGTTTCAGTAGGTGATCCATCATCCTCCTGGGAAGTTTCAGATAGGTTGTATTCACTGATATCCGCACGGGAGGAAATGCTACTCAGGCAGGGGACTTGCCCTGGTCGTTTCCTAATCATAAGAACCCCCTGGGGAGCTTCAGGATACTACAGCTTCCTCAGCCTCCCACTTCCGCTGAAGCCCTGGCTCCTGGGGAATCCGGATTTCTCATAAGCACCTGTAGTGATTCATCTCAGGCATACTGAGGGAAGAATTTTCCTATTCATGGTCTCAGATGCGGGTAGGGCTCCCCAGGGTCACCCCCGTAACACCTCCCAGATGCGGGTAGGGCTTCCTGGGTGCCTGCAGGACTCCGGCCTCCGGAGCCCCAGCCCCCAGCAACACAGAGGGGCTGCCCGAGGTTCCACCCAGAGAAGAGGGGCTGATGGGACTGGAGCTCCTCTGGGGCCCCAAGGGCCAGGTGCCCTTTGCCCTCCCAGGTCTGAGCATCCGCCTAGATAAGGAGGCCGTGGCCAGATGTCAGCACCCAGGCTCGTCCCCTGTTGCTGTCCCTACCTTACCTTCCAGCAAGTGAGATAGGACAAAGGCAATAAGCTGAGGCAGGAACAGAAGGAGAAAGAACAGACAACCCAGCCTCCCCTGCTGGCGCCGGTGCTGGCCGGACGCATCTCTGAGGCCCCAGCCCGCCCGCCGCTCAGCCCCCAAGGTGGTTTCAGTCCATTTTCCCTTCCCACCCTATGGCTGAGGGCGCATAAGGGAGATCCATTTGACTTGTAAGTGTGAGAAGAACAGTAATTCAGATGCACTGCAGTGCAGTGTGACGGGCAGGGGAAGGGGATGGGGTGCAGGATAAAGGGGGGAGCGGGGAGGAAGCTTCAGGCTGGACAGTTCTCCTCTCGGCGGATGGGATCAGCCAATGACAGCTCTGCTGCTCTGGGGAAACAGGGCTGGGGATTCGGGGCGGGTGGCAGGTGAAATGGGGTTCAAAGAGCTGCCCTAAATGTTCGCAAGTCCAGGGAGGACCATAAAAGGGAAAAGGGGAGAAGGGGGGGGGGACGATAAACAGGAAATATTTTGAGGAGTATTAGCCACGAGTCAGGTGTTATACCAGAATTTTACACATTTCACCCTCATAACCGTTCTGCATGATAAGTTTTTTTCATTTTTTTATTATTGCTATTCTATTACAGTTGTCCTTATTTTTCCCCTTTGCCCCCCTCTGCCCGGCCCACCCCACCCCCACTCCCACAGTCCATCCCCACACCTTTGCCCACGTCCGCGGGCCATTCATACATGTCCTTTGCCTAGTCCCTTCCCCTCCTCCCACCACTGCCCCCCCCACAGCCCCTGTCAGTCTGTTCCACGTTTCCATGCCTCTGGTTCTATTTTGCTCATTAGTTTATTTTCCCAGTGAAAAACAAATACCATATGGTCTCACCTACAAGAGGAATCTAATGAACTAAATAAACTAACGTGCAAGATAAGTATTTAGTCGATTCACTCATCCATGGAGCTTTAAGCAACCAGACACCTCGTGCCCAGCTGTGTGCCAAAGCCTATTCTTGGGGTAAGGGGTGCAGTGAGTACGACAGGCAGGCAAATCCCCTGTTATCTTAGAGCCTGTCTCCAAGTCGCCAATTTTAGGAAGATCGAGGCCCAGAGACGAGGCCCGGTGCTCCGCTCCCACTGGTGGGCACAGGCGCCGGAGACCGGGATTCAACCCCAGACTTGCACCGCTGTTGGTCCAGCGTCCCCGCTGCCTCATGACCCGAGGGCCAGCGGTGTTCACGAGACACGCCAGCATCCCCTGTGAGGGGTGAGGGCATCTTTGGGGTGTGGTCCGCAAAGGGGTACACGGGACTCCCACGCCCAGAAGGGCTGGGGGAGAAGGCCCTCAGCACTCCTAGAGTCGCACAGTTGCCGGCGGGGCCCTCGGTTAGCGCACGTGCACTGGGGGCCAGGCACCGTTTCCTGGATGGAGCTTTTCCATCAGACTGCAGCGAGGTGGGCGTCATCGACCCCGCTGCACAGACGCCTGACCCTGAGTGGCTGGGTGGCTTGACCGAGGCCGTACGGCAGGTGAGGGGTGGCACCTCCACAAGCTGGCTTGGGGGACAGAGGGGCGCAGACCAGTCTACACGTTAGTCTGCTGCTGGACTGGAAGCCCACGCCCCTCTTTGCTGTACTTGCACACTCACAGTCACACTCACACTCACACTCACAGTGAACGCGTAAATGTGAGCCCAGGAGAGCCCTGGGTCGGCCCAATACAAGGTCGGGGAGAGCTGCCAAGGGTTGCCCCAAAAGGTGCTCTTAACACTGCAGCCGGGGAGGAAGGGAGAACGCCCAGACAGGGGCTTTCAAAGGGCGGGGAGAGGCTGGGATTTCAGCTAAAGGGTCACTGTGTTCTCTCTCTCCCTCTCTCTCTCCCCCCACCCCACTCCAGTGAGAGGCCCCAGGGCAGCAGGCAGAGTGACGGCGGGCACCACGTTCCCGGCCCCCTGAGCCCCAGAAAGGGGGAAGAAGCTGTGCTCCTGGGACCAGAGCTGGCACAGCCTTCCCCAGACCCGGCCGTGCCCTGGGACCTGGCTCAGGCGTGCCTTCCTGACCCCCCTCGTGGTAACGGCCCATCTCCCATCTGGATGCCTCCATGTCACGGGTCTCATCTTTCTCGCTTCTGCATCCTCGGTGCCCACCGGGCCTGGCAAAGGGCAGGTGCGAGCCACGTGAGGGCAAAGAACTGAGATGGGGGAAGGGTGTCGCGAAGGCTGGGAGGAAGGGTCCCACGTCAGCCACTGTGACATCCTCAGGAACCTGGACGGTGAAGAGAAGGCTTCCCCACTGGCCTGCGGCGGGTGCCACGCCCTCATACACACCAGGGGCTGGGTCAGTCGCTGCCGGGGGAGGTAGAGAGACGAGAAGCCGGGTACTTCCATGTTAGCCGGTGATAACTTCGAACACTGGTCATTTTTAGGTGCATGCCTTCCGCCGTCTGCATGAAGTCCAGGTGCCCAGCCTCACTGTCTGCATTTTTAGGAGGGGAATCAGATTGGAGGTGCTGGGCGTCTTCCCCAAGGCACGGGTCAGTGGGGGGAGAATTCGGATGAGAACTCTCAGCAGCCGGGAAACTGCCCTTACCCGCTCTCCGTACACCGAAGCCGGAGCTGTTCCCTCCTTTCCACTCCCCTGGGGGGCTGGAGCTGGGCAGAAGGGACCCAGCTGGCAGAGGAGGAGCGGTCAGGGAGGCCGGGTGGGGGTGGGGACGGCTCCACCTGTTGCTGCTGCCGGAGCAGCAACGGCAGAGGGAGGACCGGCCCCTCCT